CAGGTCCCAAACCTGTTTCACAGAGCATTGATCACCTGCAGAAGAGAGGCAAGAGCAGAAAAAAGCTGCCCTGCAAGCAGCCAGGCTGAGATGGGACAGAGGACTCTGTCAGCTGAGAAATCTGCATGTACTTATCTTGTGTTTTATCCCCATACTGGGGCAGTGCCTGGGAGGAAGCAAAGGACAATTCCCTTGGTTTTGCCACCCACTCAGCAGCCTCTAGTCCCTGACAGCAAGAAGGTTGCCAGGAGGCTGTTGGGAGCTATTGACCCAATCTGCCAGATAGTTTTAAGATGCTCAGTTCCTGGTCACTGCCAGGAGTTTGGCACCTCTGGATGTCTGAGCTATTTGCCATCACTGTGGCCTCCTGCTCCTTTGGAAAACGATGCAAAGCCAGACAGACCCTTCCTGTGAAAGGCACAGGAGTAGCCCACCTTTGTATTCTGTTGGTGCAGAAGTAGTGGGCTCTTCTGGAGGGGAGGACAAGCAGCCTCTTCCACTGCTGGTGCTCCAAGCATGCAGCTGAGCACATGGAGAAGCAAGTGCAGGAGGAATGCTGGTGTGACTCACAGCAGTGCCCCTTTGGGGCAGTTTTCTGTGGCTGTATAAGAATCAGGATGTGTCGAATCACTTGTGCAAATAAAAAGTGTGGGTGGTGAGCTTTGCAACAGGCTGCTGGGGAGTAGCTCAGTTCCCTAGTTCTTCTTTTAAGGAGGAGGAAAAGAAAGGCACTCTACATGATAGCATTTTTATAACATTAGCATTTGGGCTTCTGCCAGCATATTTGCTGAGTTTTATCACCAGACTCCCTCCTTCCCAGGGCCACAAATGCTCTTCTTTCCATAGATGTATTTTCAGTGCTCCTGGCCCTCCAGCTTGCAGTCTGCCTCTTCCTCTTCTTCGCAGACATTGATGCTGTGTACAGTGGAATGCAGGTAAGCACAAACTAAATATGTATTTCCTTCTCATCCATGAATTTTGCTGGCCCTTTACCTAAGCATACAGAGCAGAAGCTACACCTGCAGTTTTGTAAATTAATTTGCTGATCTGATGGTGATTGGGCAGCCCTTTCAAATGTCTCTAATATCCCTCTTACAAGAGCTTCATTAATGAGGTAGACCTCCTCTTCTCTAAAGACTGGGCATCACCAGGAGAAGAAAAAGTGCTTATAGCTTGCTGGGCTTTTCTGACTAACAGAAAAGGCACAATAGGGTGGATTGTGGTTTTGCACTGGAGGAGGCTTGTTGGCCAGAGAAGCGAGTGGGCAAGGATTGCTGCTGCCACCCCCTTCCCTAGGAGAACCATGAACTTACATGGGGCCAGCTGCTTCAGCCCTCCTGGGCATTCAGCCAGGGCACAGTGCAGGCAGCTGCCTCCAGCTGTGCTGTGCAACATCGGGAATGGCAAAGCCCTTAGGATCATCTCCAGCCATCCTGCAAATGATGAATTCAGAAGGGGCCTGCCATTAGGGCAAGCATATACAGAGGGAGAGAAGCCACACATCGTGCATTAGCTGCAGCTCCCTCGAAGTATTTGAGCACCGGATCTTGACCCAGGCACTGCATGTTTCAGCACTGCATGTCAGCACATGCATGTTTCAGCACTGCATGTTTCAGCAATAACTTAAATAGCCAAGATGAGTTAGGCAGCTACATGCCATGGGGGATCTGGCATCAAACCTTCCAAGATCTCTGTGACAAGTGTTATTTCCCACTGCCTCCTCCATACTTATTCCTGGGAAAACTCAGCTTCTCAAATCATTAGGAACAGATACAAATCTTGGCAAGGCATTTAAGCCTAATTGCTGTTCATATCTTTTCCAACAGTTTCTTTGCACTCCTCTCATCTGGAGAGTTTACGTCTTACTAATGCTCTTGGTCACCTTTTGTGTTTCTTTCTTTACAGAGGTGAGTGCCTTTGTTTACCTACCTGCTCCCTGGGGTGAACAGGAGGAGCCCTTTGTGAGGTCTTTCTACCCCATTTACAGCTGCAATGTCCTGTAGAAGCATAAAACTTCAGGCTTTTTTTTCCCCTTAAGACTCAATGTGTGTCAGTCAGATACATTTTATGCAGCCCCAGAGATGATTTAGACCACATCTCAAGTCTTTAGAGAGGGAGTGAGCGGAAGTGCAGCTGCCTGGGAAGAGTCCACGGCAGCATGGGCCAGGTGCTTGGCAGTGATTTTGAAACAACCAGTTCCCTCTTGACCTACAATCAATCAGGCCAGAGACTACACGGGCTTGTGGCATTGGAAACTGCAGTAATGACTAAGTCCTGAAGTGTTCTGTGGACTGAGGCTGGCTGTATGCAGCACCAGGGATAGTCCCCGGCAAGAAGCAGCAGTGCCTGGTTGTCCCACAGCCTCAGGAGGAAAATCTTCCCCCTTGATTATCCCCATCAGCTAAACCGAGATCAGTGCTGTCCTGACAGAACTGAGCAGAGCCTTCGTGTGGATAAGGAAGGTGGCCTTTGTCAGCTGTGCACACAGCTGCCCAGCGCCATGGGGCTCAGGGGTCTGTGCATGTAGCAAGGGATGGCTTTTGTCCCCAAGTGGTCCTCCTTTCCAGTGAAGCACAATAACACTGACCCCGCATCATGTCACTCCACAGGACATTATCTTGCAGAACAAGCACCTCTGGCTGTTGATTAAAGCCTGGTTTGGGTACCAATCAAACAGCCAGTACCGAAAATGGCAGAGGATGCTGCAGAGGGATCCCAACTGGCCTCCTGTAAACACAGAAGACTTCGCAGCAAAAAGCACAGATGAGATTTACATTAACCCCACCTACGAACACAGTGACAAGGACTAGGTGAGACCCTGCAGCTGGGTGTGGGACTGCACAGTGCTGGTAGCTTCGCTGGCTTGCACTGAACAGCCTGTGTCTGCATCCTGTGTGTGCTAGCTTCACATGTTTGAAATCCCTGCATAAACCCACCCATTCAGGGGCCCCTGGCCCTGTGCTGGCTGTGCCTAGGGGACAGGCAAGGTTTATTCTCTTGGCTGCTAGTGAAATAACAGCCTTGACTCTACTCCGTGGCAACAGCAGTTCTTGGGCCTTGCCAGCAACTCCTACAAAGACTCAAAAATACTGAATACAGCAAAGCAATGGCTTCTGCTGCTCCATGTCACACTCTCACTCCACGTTTCAGTCACTGCTCCACCAAATCCTGTCAATGCGCCCATCAGGCTTGAAGGAACGCAATCCAGAGTAAGTCTTGACTGCACAGAGGAGCACGTGTACAATTGCAAAATCCTGTGTTTAACGCAACATTGCAGCTTCCAAGAACTCCAAGAAAGTTCCCCTGATGAAGCAATTCCAGTTTTCTTGCATCGCAGAATGATTACAGATCACATTACAGATGTGAGAGGGTGCCTACATTGCCCTCTCACAGCTATCCCTTGCCAGTTCTTGCAGGCATAATGCTCCAAGTATACGAAAGGTTAAAGCTCATGGATTGCTGTGAGACCAGGCTGAGAAGGCTGGTGAGGATATGCCCTACTTAAGGCTGGAAAGGCCAGCACAACTGCTGCATACATGACACACACGCCCCCACCCCCCTTCCAGGTCCTGCCCTGTGTTTGCTGTCACGCAGCAGAAAGCAGGGCTAAGTCTTGGCTTCTCACTTTAACTAGGTCATGCCAAGAAGCAGGGAGTTTAACCTGCTCCAGCACATGGCTGCTGGATAGGTACAAGAGATCGAGCCCCTTTGTACTTGCTCAAGTGGTTCAACCACCTAATTAGTTTAGCTATGAAAGATCTCTTGGTTACACTTGCAGGAAGAAAAAAAAAAAAAAAAAAAAAAGGACTTTCAGTTTTATTATGCTTTCTCATATTAAAAAAGAGTGACTTTATTTAAATGTAGTAACAGAGGGCACTACAAATATGACCAGAAGTCTTGGTTTTGTTATTTCAAACACTGAAACAACTGATGTTTAAAAAAATCCCTCTGATCCCTTTATGTACGTGTTAAGAGCAGACAAAAACCAGCAAGCCTCTTACAAACAGCTCTTTTGCTGCCATCTCTTCTTACAGTCCAGGCAGTTGCTTGTGGCAAAAGCCACACAGGATTTTATTTCTTACATGCCATCTGTAAATAACATGGTTCTAAACACATCAGCCTCATGCTCCTGGTAAAAAGCAATAAATCACACTTTTCTAAGACAAGCCACATGTCAGCTTTGCAACACTGAAATAGCAGGGCTCTGTACACAGGGAGATGGGGTATAGGTGCTGCATAGCTCATTCTCTAGGTACATCACCCACAGCACCGCAGGGCAAAGGCAGCCTTGCAATCCATTGTGATCTTTAAACCTCAGTGCTTTGGCAGCCCAAGGAGTAGAATCATAGAATGGTTTCGGTTAGAAGGGAGTGTAAAGATCATCTAGTAAGCCCTGGTAAGATACAGTGCAAACAATTACTGCACTTACAGTGATGAAGCATTTCAGTGGCACAGCAGCCCCAATCTGGAACAAACAGTGAAAACCCTACCTGTTTTTCTGCTAGACCACACCACCATCCCCCCACCAAACTGGGGCTCCGCTGCTCCCAAAGGGAGGCACAAGAGCCAGTGAAAGGGATGGTTTCCAGGCAGGAGAAAATTGACCACAACACCATCATGAAACAATAGCGCACTTATTTAAAACACTGAAGGATATAACTTGTAAGACCAGCCCTTCCTTCCTACCTCCCGCCCTTCACAGGAGCAGCTCCATGTAGGCAGTGCACACAGGCTCCAAAACACAGTGCATGCTTTGTCTGCCCTTTCGCAGGCCTGAGAACCTGGGGTTTTCCACTTGAACAGGCCCTTAGCTGGAGGACACACAATAAACACTCAGCAATACATTTACATTAGTTTTAATTAAAAAACAGAACACCCCAAACAAGAAAAACAAAGTAATAATGTTAAGGTTAAAACAAGTTATTCACAGAAAAAGGCAGCAGGGTGTAGCTAATAAAACCAGGATGTTGGAACGAGATGATCTTAAGGTCCTTCCCAACCCTAACTACTCTATGATGTGGGTAGAAAGCCTGCACCATTCCTCAGCAGAGCACTGGGTGCATGAGGAGAATTTGCTTGCAGACACTCCTAGACTACTACAAAAATCATCACAGGCAATGAAATAAAAGCTGATGTGGAAAAGAGACTAGTGCTGCTCTCAGCAAGGGGACACAGTTGGTAGTAAATCTTAGTGGCAGCTGTGGCCACAAACTGTTCCAAGTAACCCAGGCAGGGCCTCTGCCCTGCTCTGAGCTCATCCCAATGGCCCATCAATACTGTCTCTCTCTGGATCTGCTCCGAAGCAAGCCCAACAAGGAGAAGGCACCAGCAGCAGCTGTCACAAACCCGATGGCACTGATTGCTCTGTTGGCCTGCAGAGAAGTAAAACACAGGCTGGAACATGATGAGCTTTTTTTTTTTACCCCCAGGCATGAATAATGAAGAGCAGGCAGGGATACTCAAAGCAATTAAATGAATAAGAGACACCTTCCCCATAAGCAAACAAGGGAACACCCAGGCTTTCACCCTTAGGCTGTGGCATTTGGTAAGAGGGCTCTATCAAGGTGCAGACAGTGAACCTCCTGGTTCATGATCTCCTGTGAGGCCAGAGGCAATGACAGTCTGGATCCTATGCCTTCGACTTTGCTGTCCCCAGGCAGTTTCTAGGCTGTGCCCCAGTCCAGGGACTCATACAGCAGCAAGCACATGCACTGTGAGGCATACAGGGCCTTACACCATGTTACTTACCTGGCTAGAGACACCCTCGCCATAGCGGAGCAGCGTCACGAAGTGCTCACAGTTGTTGCTGAGCAGGTCATAAGACACCTCCTGGTCAATGAGGTACTCAGCACGCCGGATGATCTCCTCCACGGGGAGGGGAGCATAGGTGCCGTCATACTTGTTGTTGACGTGGTAGGTATCATTTCCCACCACATCCTTCAGGAGCTGCATCCTCACCCGGGCCTTCCTGCTGAACACTGACTTCACACTGGAGAACGTGGCTGGGGGCCCTTCATCTGGGGAAGGCAGGGATAGGATGAGCCAGGTAGACCCCATCTGGCTCCTCCCAGACCTCAGATGGGTCATCTGCACCCACAGGGCTCCCCACCAGCCCATGGAGAAGGGGCTCCCTGGTCATCCCAAAGGCCCATCTGCACCCTGCCAAGCTGCACCAGCCTTACCTTCAGGCGTCACGTTGATGACATACCCGTCTCCCACGTAGAGGGCCCAGTGCTGGTAAGCTGGCCGGAAGATCTCGATCAGGTCCCCAGGCTCAGGGTCACCGGGGTGGGTGGTCCTAAAGCCCTGGACGGCTGCCATCTCCAGAGCCCAAGGTCAGGACATGCCCCTCTCGCTGGGCAGGCTCAGTGCAAGGCACGGTGGAGGGGAGGTCTGGGATGTGCACCGAGCATCTACTGGGAGACTGCAGGCAGGAAGATCATTAGGGCCTAGCACTGGCACGCTCTATCTATCGCAGCCGGCACCTAACTAATGCCTCGGCCGCCCGGCCCTCTGCAGGGCCCAGCGACGCGCAGCCGGGGAGTCAGCGCTGAAATCGCCACCGCTCCCGCGGAGGATGAAGCCATTTTACGGGCTGGCCTTCGGCCTGCAGCGCTCGGTGCTCTCCCTGGACAGCGGTCTGCTGTTCCGCCCCGGCCGTGTGCCTTTCGGGGCTCTGCTTGTGCCGGTACCGCGGCGGCTCCGGTAGACAGTCGCAGGGCCGAGAGGCGCCCAGCCCGTCCCCAGGTCAGCTCGCCTCTCTCGGCAGCCCGGGAGAGCTACGTCCTGCTGGCAGACGCCTGCCCGCACCCCAATGTCCCCCCAGTGCCCCGCTCACCCTGCAGCGCCGTTCCCGCTGTCACCGCAGCAGGGCTGCCACCCCGGGGCGGGGGCAGCGGCGGAAGCTGGGTCGGGTCCTCGCTCCTCCCGGCCGTTATAAATAGCGAGGAGGAGCCCTGATGAGCAGTCGTTTTGCTCCTCGCTTGGAGGCTGCGCTCTAGGAGGTGTTGCTAAATCTGTGCGTCGTGTGGAAAAGCTCGTCCTGCCCCTGGGAAAGACGGGCCATCACCTCCTCCTCGCTGGGAGCCCCTGCCGGCGCCCCGCCGGCCGCGGGGGTGAGCTCCGATATGCGGGGCCGGGGCCGGGGCTGTCCTGCCGAGCAGAGAGCGAGCATCCCTTACCGGGTAACCTTATGATACAGAAAAGGCACACTGCTGATCCACTTCTTTTTTCCTAGCGAAGAGAAGCAAAGGAGGCTCAGAGGAAATCCCAGTGGCCGTTTTAGGGCAAAGAGATTTCTAGGATGGCTTTTCGTGTTGTGGCCGAGGAATTTCCTTTAGGATATCAGAGGAGTTTCGTGATTGTACCCAGCAGTAATCCGCTGAGCACAGCTGAGTAGGCACAGTTGTCTCCTCTTTGGCTGTCACCAGTATGGTATGTTAAGAAGGAGGGTTCACTAACAACAAAGTCCTCTGAGTGAGCTGGACTAAGCAGTGCATTTAAAGGTTAGTGTTTCAAAAGTCAGGTGAGCAAGCTGGTTGATTTAAAAGATCAGAGCTGCAGATTTGGCATTTTCCTGGCTTCTATTGACATGAAATAGTTAAGCCAGTGGAGCAGTGTATTGTAATTCTTTCTGTATCGTCCCTTGTTTCAAGTCTGAAGTATTTGTAGAGCTTTGCAGTGAAAAACAAAGGCAATTCTTGTGGTATTGGTGGAGGGAAAGTGGATCTATGGAAACCCAGAAGTCTGCTTTACCTGGGTGCAGCTGGGCCTTGCTGCTTGAAAGAGCTGGGGCTGGGATCCTGCAGGGTAGGGACTGGCCTGTGTTCCTACCAGCTGCAAGGGGAGGTGAGCCTGGTCACCTGTGGTCAACGTTCACAGCATTGCGTGGTTAGAAGGTGTGAGAGTGCAGTAGGAAGCTGCCACTCGGCTAACAGGAAAGATGCCTTTATAATTAATTGTGGTGAAATTCCAGCATAAGGTTGACTGTTCGTTTGTGCACGAGTAGATCTGTTATTCATTTTCATTAGGTAATGAGGCTGAAAGCCCCTTTCCAGTCACATCCTGTCCAAAATAGCTGTGCTGTGCATGTGTGGACAGCTAGCATGTTCTCGAATGGATCAGAATAAAATGCCTTTTATCTACCTTACTGTTCATGGAGGTTACAATGCTTTTCTTGCTAGCAGCATGCATGAGTTTATGGACACAAGGGAAAGGAGAAAGCATAAGTAAATAATAACCAGGATTATGGCAGCGACAACAGGAAGCCCACATTGTTCCTCACCATAATCGGAAGTGAAGCTGCAAAAAACTGGAAAATTATCAGCAAATGGTGCACTCTGTAAGTCACAAAGCTTCACTCATGGCACAGGAAATTAGTTCAGGGCTTGGACGAGGCCCAGTCAGTGCCTCAGTTTCCTGAGTGTTTTGAATGGTCTGTCATGGAGTAGGCGTCTCACACACTGCATCTTATCGTGCCTTGCCCCAAACACATTTGGCCTTCTGCTGTAGCAGCATCCTTAGCATGGTCTGGGACTGAGCCAATGCAGATGTCTACCCACATTCATCAGAGTGTGGCAGCTTCAGAGTCTGCAAAGACCTCAAAGGAAAGTTTATTACAGGATCTTATTCTTTAGAAAGTTTTAGTGAAGTTATGCTTTGTGAAGTTAAGGCCTTTGCTTAGGCCTTTCAGGCAGAGGACTGATGACAACCCTCCTTCTTGTCCACTCCACCATAACAGCAAGGAGGCAGCTCTCCTTCAAACAGTCCCTTCTTTTAGTCCAGCACTCCCATGGGGGGCAATGAGGGTCATCTTTTTTTCCTACACCTGTCACCTCATGAGTTCAGTGGTTTCTTTATTCTTTCTCTCCCCAGTTGAATATGCCTTGCCAGAAGAGGGGTAAGAACTGTATCCAACTCAATCAGCTAATCCCCTCCCCATGAAAGGCTCTGGGGTAAGATGATTTCTTGAAGACCTGCCTGGGATGATACAATGAATTCTGACCTCATCAGTCTATCTATGGCTAGTACATCTGTCAGAGGTGTGTATGTGATGGTGTGCAGCACACTTTACTGCCAAATTCTGCCTGGATGTTGTGCTTTTCAGTCTCTGAAGACAACAGTCTCTGAGTTAGGATATATTTCAATTTGGGTCTGTAACATGAGATCTGAGAGGTACTTTAAATGAACAACTTCAAAGGTTTTCAGCAAATGCAATGATTTATTTATTCTCAAAATATTAGAAATACTATTAAAATACAAGAGCAGAAAGTAATACAAATTAATTGGAAAAGTATTGCTAACTATAGGTACGTAGTTTGGGATTCATTTTGATCAAATGCATTGTTCACAATGCAGCCATAATTGTGCTCATGTACTCTGTCATCCAGTACATTCCCGGGCTGTTTCAAAGAATTCCTTGATATCTCATGTGTATCCATCTTTCTTTTCCTTCTGCACAATGAAAAAAAACGTAATTAATCAATCTATATTTTATCTCTAGTGAGAGGTCAAACAATGGTGTGAGCATGAATGAAGTCAGAATTTGGAGAAGTCCAAGTTTTGTGACAGTGATGCATATGGATAATGGAAATGACATACATTAATTTCTGTAGAAGAAGCTGTATTTTCCCCGACATTCTTCAAATGAGATCCTGAATGCTGTGGTTCCTTTTTGGTCCTGCACGTATGTGACTGATGGGAGTTTTGAAGTTTACAGGTGCTAAAAGGGGTGTATGTTCCTTGAACTTAGAAAAGTTGGGAAAAGCCTTACCTGTACAGGTACACTGCAGAGGAGATGAGAATGGTGACAACAACTACACCTGCCACAATTCCAATGACTATGGCAACCGTGTGGTTCTCGGGATCCTCTGTGGCAGAGACTTCAAGTGAAGAACAAAGAGGAGTTCTGTCAGTGAAAGCTAACCATACTGTGAACAGAAACATTTTTTTCAACCCTTGCCTGTCTCCTTGGTTTACACCATGTTCTTTGATGAATGTGGATTTCTGGAGTGGCATTGGACCAGGGTCCTGTATGCTCTACGTAGCCCTACTGTCATGCCCACTAGGGGATTTGACCTCCTTCTTTCTTCTTGGATGACCACAGGCTCTTACCTACTGAGTTACTCATTTACAGCACAGAAGTGAAGAGCAAGCTCCGCCTTCTCCATAATTGCACCCGTTTTTGAAAATAGCGTGTGTAATTCAAACAGTGAAACCAGAATAGTTTTATTACCCCTCTTTTCTGCCTCGCAGGTTTGTCCTGTGTACAGTTCTGAACATTCACAGTGGAAGGAGAGAGAGGTGCTGTCAGTAGTTTCAGAGCAAACTCCATCATTTTTACAAGGATTTGGCATACATGGTCCACCTAGCAGCAAGGAAGAAGAAACACTTCAGACTCCCAGATAACCCAACCCTGAGAGTACTGTTCATGCAGAGATTATGCTGACTCCTAATGTTGAATATCCCCTGTATTTTAAAGTGTATTACTTGTACTAGACAACAGGAATAAGGGAAAGAAACACTGTTTCTACAATGAAACATCAGAATAAGATCCCTTGTATGCTTTTCTTCTGTACACGCTCATCACCTCACCTCAGTGATGTCCTATAAATAGGAAGTCAAGACTTCTTAGCATCAAAGACAATGTGATAGTGAATGACTTACTCCTGTAGCATCCACGACTGTAATTTGAAATGCCACAGATTTCATCAGATCCACACACTATGTTTGAGCAGAAGACAGTGGAGCTTTCTGTGCACTGGCATCTCTGAGAGCAGTCATCAGTGGTGAATATTTCTCCAATCTAGAAGACAGCAGTTAAATGTTAAAAAATATCAAATAAAACCAGCCAGAAAAAGCATGAATGCGTCACTGGGGCCCCATGCTACTCTCTCCGATGTCTTCCTGATGAATGGCAATAGCACAGATTTTTTTTTTTTTCTTTTTTTAAGTAGTTTGTAAAACTACAAAAGAGCAAGAGGAATTTATTAATCCAGTCCTTTGAAACTCAAGGATGGCCCAAGAAAGAATGCAAAAGAAGAGTTTGGCGTACAACATCCTAGCCCCAGGCGGGATACAAGTGCAACCAATGATGTCTAGCTGTTGCTGGAGATAAGACAGAGTGGCAGACACATCACATCATGCCTCTGAAGGCAGTGTGGAAATGCTATGTGCCATTTTTCTTGAAAGTGCCACCTTTTCATAGTGTCTCCTTCCTCACATAAAAAACGACCTTTACTGACTTAGGCCTTTTCTCTACTAAATCTCTAGTATTAAAACAGAAATCTCTGAGATTACAAAGCTGCTCTATCCTGCAGCAACAGTGGAAGTTTCTCCATATTCCTCAGAATCCAGCCTTGATTGGGACTCTCTTCATGTCACAGCCAACTCTACAAACTCTCTACCTTGCTTGTACCGCTCTATCACTGAGAGGAAAGTGACCACAGTGACTGACAGAATTTTTGTGAAACTGGTGTGTTGTAAAATTCAGAGCCTATGAGGCTATTATTTAGCATAATAGAATCATAGAGTGGCTAGGGTTGGAAAGGACCTTAAGATCATCTACTTCCAACCCTGCTGCCATGGGCAGAGACACCTCACACTAAACCATGGCACCCAAGGCTCTGTCTAACCTGGCCTTGAACACCACCGGGGCTGGAGAATTCACAACTTCCTTGGGAAACCCATTCCAGTGCCGCACCCCCCTTACAGTAAAAAACTTCCTCCCTACATCCAATCTAAATTTCTCCTTTATAATAAAGGTGAAGAATTAACATGGAGGTTAGAGTGTAATCATATGCTTTCTCAAAGCATCTGCCTTGTATTCTGGCAGGCAGCGTTTCAGAGGCAGACCAAGTTATCCCTCTCTCTTTTCCCCTCCTCCATGGAAATTACATGCTGAGGAGAATGAGGAGACTGTCAAAATAATTTGCAGAAAAAAAATTATTTGGTGCCACGGGAGCTGTCTGACCCACAGAGAGACTGTACCTCATAATATTTGTCAAGGTATGTGCAGCCACATTGCCTGTAAGGCACACAATCAAAACCACTAAGAACATAGCCAGGGAGACATTCACAGCCCTCAAGACAAGGTGATTCACACTCAGAGGGGCTGGTCAAGTCACTGCAGGATGCTGGGCATGCAGACATGCATGAGCTGTAGTTGCTGTTGGCAGGACATGATATACCTGTAAAAATAAGGAGAGTCCAGTTACAGCAGGCTGCTGTGCATTACTTACACAATGCCCTTTGAGATTCAGAGGATGTTACCATGTTGTAGAGGGCAGTATGATAACCACACATATACTGAGATGTGCATACATATATAATAGTACTGGAGTTCTAAGTAAAGCACTCCAAAGTCAAAAATGCATTGTGAAAGCTATTTGTGTGCTCTGTTCTCATTCCTGGTGCTCACTGACCACAAATAACTTCTCACACATTCAGGATAACTATTTCTGCAAGTACCAGGAATACAGAGTCATCTAACCATGGGTGATGCAGGGGAAGTATGGTTTGACAAACCTTGAACCTCCCAATTTTGGGGAAAGAAAAAAAAAAGGATTTTAGACCATTATAAGTTTTATTTTATCATTTTTTTAGTCTGAGAGGTTTGGAGTTTTCAGCTGAATCTTTTTTATCTTGAAATTTCACAGGCAAATAGAGAACTAGTATTTTTTGTAGATTTAAAAAAGAGATTGATATTAAATGCTTTTCCCTTCAGATTTGTGGCTTGTGATGGTCTCCAGAATTTTAACTTTTTTTTCCCAGTTGGGAGTGGGGACATTTCTGATAGCTGAGGACCTGACAGATCTGCTTTCCTAAGTAGCTTTCTAAGTTGGGATCTAAATGCAAAAGTCAGCATAAGACGTACAAGAAAGGCCAGAAGAGCAAGTGTGCATGCTAAACTGTGAACAATGATTTGAGTGTGAATCAACATGCTTTTACTCCCTGAGCAGCTTTGGTGTATGGTACATCTAGGAAAAGCCTCATATCTCAGCTCTGGAGAGTCCTTTAGGCAGAAAGAAGTTTCTGGTTCTTCCTGTGCTTACCACAATCTGTCTGTTGCCTCCAGCCTTCCATACTGACTCCTTGCAGCTGACAAGTCAGCACATACTCCTCCAGACTGCGACATAAGGTAGCATCCTCATCTCCTTCCACACACATATCAAACAGGCAGCTCCTATGTGCAACATGAGAAAGTGTTAATTCCCAGTGCTTTTGGTTTTGTTTATTTTCAGCTGCTTTTCTGCCTTACTCTGAGTTAGTTCCATTTTCTGGCTGACAGGAACACAGAGGATCAGGTCATTTGTTGTGCAGCTGCTGCTAACATGTGAGGTATTCATATATGAACAAGCAATAAACAGGTACCTGACTGCTTGTTATTCTTTGTGATAGATAACTGCAAGTTATTCTTTGTGATCTGCTTCTGGTTTGGGTTACCATGGCTGCATCTTGCTTATTGAGCACTTTCTAACACTGCTAAGTCCTTAGAGCTGGACTTCACACTTCTTTTAATACATGGGTGCCCTCCCCATGTTCATATACCTTGAATATTGACACAGAATTCTGTTTTACCCAGTGCTTGTTTACCAGTGCTACCTTCTCAGCTTTCCTCATCTGAATATCCACAGGCTGATTTTCAGAGGCATTAAGATCTGAGATGAATGGGATCTGCAATTATGCAGCATCTCCGAAAAATGAGGCAACCACTAAGAAGGTAGAACAGGCTGCCCAACAAAACTCTTAACTGAGCAGAAAATTAGGCTTATGTTGAGAATCAGGATACCCATACACTGAAGCCTCAGTTTCTGTTAATACCCTGGAGACAGAAGATGCAAAACTCTTGTCAGAAACTAGTGCCAAAATGATTTTGCAAATGGGGAGAATTACTGTCTGCAGTAGACACTCACGTGAAATAGAAATCTGGTGAGACCATGGAGTGACAGTTTACAAAAGGACCATTCGAGTCAATCAGGATATGACATCTCGAAGTTCTGTTTTCTTGTCCCAGCTTATTTTCACTGCAGCCTTGGAAGAGCCCTGGATCTGGTTCCTCCTCAGACTCATCTTCTGAGTTGACATCTCGCCTGTAAATTAAGCTATTATGAAACCATCATTTCTCTCTACAACCAACATTCATGGTACTACTCTAAGTAATTCCACAAGAGTACTTCTGCCTCATGGTGTAAGTGGAAGCTTATTTCTCTCTCATGATTTATCCTGAATGGGAAAGAGATAGATAAAGCAAGTCAAAGATGTACTAGAACACTTCCTACCATATCAGAGATTTATGGATATTAAAATCAAAAGGGATATATGTAATTATCTCTTTGGAAATTCTGCATGACACAGGCTTCATCCAATACCTCCTTCATCCAATCTAATAAAACTTGAACATTAGTCAGAGTAGTGCAGCTGGTATAAGTCACTGTTTCTTGGACATATGTTAATTTTCACTGAGCAGTTGTCTGCATGCCTGAAGTGCCAGAATTCTCCTATAGGATTAGCCTCCAGAGCCCCTTTATGCTCGTCACTAGCCTACATACTGCTTTCTACTATTGTGGCAAACAAGTTTTGCAGCCAGATTATATCCTAACAGCTAATACAATTACATTTACTTGCTGATAAAGTCCTGTGTTAGTGGCTAAGCAACTTCCAAAGGTCTTTCAAAGGAAGGATGGAAAGAAACTCCTTTCCCTCCTGTTTCAATGTTCTGTATGGACTAATTAGCACAGAATTTGTCTAGCCACAAATATCATGATCGTTCATACTCAAGAGAATGTCCTTTTTGTGTACTGGCAGAAAACACTAGATAGGATAGCCATAGATGTAAGGAAATCAAACTCTTCAAGAACATCTTCTGGGAGGAATTGTGAATTCATCTTGATGGACTTCAAAGCTGCCTTCATGTTCCAAGGGAGGGATGACACTGAACCAGGATTTGCTCTCCCTTGGCCCATCCAGCACAGCATGATGTATTTATCTTTGCCAGGAACCATGAGCTTGGCAAAGATCTTATGAATTCCTGTGCCCTAGCAGTTGTAGCGGCTGTGACTCCAAAGAGGGATACTGAATTGGAGTAATGCAGTGATAGTTCAGGCCTCTTTTGGCTAAATAGAAGGGCACTGATAGTTCACCTTAGTTTTAACCAGGAAGAGTCCCCACACACAGACCAGATGAAGAAAGACTAGAAATAAGACAGTGTAGTTATTCCTGGATATTAACTGTGGCTTAATTCACTCACTTCCAGTGGCTGTGCTTGCTGTGGATATTAAGTAGAAAGTTAAGTACCTGAGGCGAGAGGTTGTTCTTGTCACGGGAACTTTCCAGCTCTCACCAAATGTATTTACGTTCTTCACCCAAACACCATCTGGTTTTGTGAAGTCATTTTTATATCTTCCATCAAAGTCACCGCACAAGCCTTCCACTCTGTTGCTGTAGGTGTTGGCCAGCTTTATATCTATGGAAGTTCAGAACAAAAAAAAACAAACAAAAAAGCCATTACACAGAGATCTTCTGAGCATATGGAAGAGGTGGAAAGAAGAGCCAAGTATAACATTTCATGATTCAGATTTGAGTTGGTAATATGACATGGGCCTCAGAAATATGAGCACAACCCTAAACACATGTTTTCATATATGTATTCACAGGACTGTTTCTGTAGTCTGCAACATGGATCATGAAGTCATTTCTTGCAGCCAATAAGGTGTTATATAACATAACATCACTACCTGATTGCTCTTAGAGCATACTGCTTACTGCTTTGCAACAAACTGAATGCAGCACCCAGATTTTGCCCTCAGTTACAGTGACCTTGCTCGTTTTGAAACAAAATTCCTATAAAGCAGACCTTTTCTTTCTGCAGTTAGAATTTTAGGGTTTGGAATGATGGTCATATGTGTAAATGGCCTGGCGCTTTCACCATACACTCAGAAATAACAGGGCTATATTCTGTTGTAAATCAGAAGTAATTCTAAACAGAGGAGGTAGTAATGTGTGTTCAGCGTACATGAGTGAGTTGTGTATACGTGACATGAGTCCTATTGAGAATCATTAAAGAATGGGATTATCTGGAATAGGTTTGAGGGGAAGTATGTAAAAAAATGCACTCACAGCTGTATAGCTTGAGGACCTCAGTCCTATGACTGGTTTAAATTGGCACAGGGGCAGATCCAGGCTTTATCCCATCATCCTGATCATAATTTTTAAGTAATTTGCTGTCAGTTTTATCATTCAGGCCTTACTTAACATGAAATAAAGTAGAACAGTATGAATCTACATCTCATTTCTCCTAAGTTGAGGTGGATTCAGATAAAGAAATGCCAGTTTTATGTTTTTTTTTCTGGTTCCTGGGAAACACTTTGTTTTGATTTTCTGGAAGGTCGTATCACAAAGGGCCATAGGCTCAAAGGTTAAAGGTTTCTAATTTTGCTCTGGGTTTAGACCTCCTTTGGAAAAATAACATTTTTTTGAGATAGTGCATAAATATTCCTACATGTTAGTTACCTGCATTTTGATTGCCATCGAAGCTCACGTATAAGCCAAAATCTGTTTCCAGGTAAATTCTTGTTGTCCTCTGATATATACGAATACCTTCATGAGGATGAGCAGGTGGTATCACTCTTACACCATCCAACTAACAGGGAAAGAATAAGTAAAAATTCATAATATATAAGCCAAATTCAAATCTTTCTTCAGTACAGGTCAATGCTACAAGTGAACACTCCTCTGGTTTTATGATAAATAGATAATTTAACCAGATAAAAACTTTAGTATTTGATTTTTTTTTTTTTTAATTAACAAAATCACATATTGAGGAAAGTATCTGGACACAGTATTTTCATATCATCCTTAAAGATTTTTATTACCGAGCTAAAATATATGTGAGCTATGTGTACTCTTACACATTAATAAAGAGAAAGGAAATGAAGTTTTCCTTGCATAATTCACACATCTTTTTCTCCTACCGCTGATAAAAATATGTATGGCATCACAGTAGGTCTTGGGATATTTGGCACTTTATTCCTAAATCACTTTTTATTCATTGATTTGAAGAGAATTGTATCCTTCATAGCTATAGAGAAAAAAACATGCAACACACTGAAAATCACATTTGTGATTACGTCACAGCACTGCTGTTATAATACAGATTGCTTAGATACTTAAATTCTTCAAAGCAGACATTTATTACTCAAAGGTGTTTTACTCCAAGGGAAGGTCTTTCTCTGTACTCTGCAATCAGTGAGAGACTTACCACAAGCTGCTTGTTCTGCCTGAATCGCACTGTGTGATTGTAAACATTGACAAGAATCTCCTTCAGGTTAGTAATGTGTCGACTTCGATGAAAAGGATAGTTCATGCCTTCAATGCTGAACTGCGTCAGGGTATCAGGTAGGTCAGGGATGGTCTGAACCAGAATATATGTGTATTTCCCTTGAAAGTGGTGCACTAGACCATCAAAGGTGATGTAGTGTGGATCGCCCATGATCTGGCATTTCCCAAAACCTAAAGGGTCAGAACTTCATTACTCTCCAGTCTGAATGTGAATGTGCTAGATCCTATGCATAGATCAGTTTAAAATAAGTCAGGTAAAAATGACTGCTGCTAGCATGCAGGCCTCTTAAAGTAAAGATGAGTGCTCAGGCATTACCCTATGCAATGGGCACTCAGGCGAAGAGATGGACTGAGAAGCTTGTTCCTCTGCTGAGAAGCAGTGCAAGCCAACTGAACAACTGACTGCCTATTACCTATCTATTCAGATCTGCTCTGTCTTTATTTTTTTCTTTTCTCAAATCAACATGCCATGTTAAAAACAGTATCATTGCCAAAGGATTCACAGACATATCTGAGTTTTGGTAGATGCAGTGCAAACCATATTTATTTATTTATCTTTTAAATTAAACTAGTCAGACTGAACTGTCAAATTTCTGTATGTAAGTAAATTTTCAAACTGCTGTTTCACATTACTCTACAAATTCTTTATCTTGTACTGGAACTTTCTATTCTGAGAACAGGGGCCTTTTTGTGTTCATGTATCATTAGTAGCACTGTCAGCTGCCTTCTTTCCTTGTGGAAAAGACTGGAAGTGTCATAGAAGAAAGAATGGACATCCACATCCTTCCTCCTTCTCCAACCCTCATGGAACACAAAGTGAAGACATGCCTGCACATACCTGTTGGGTTGCACTTGTGTTTTCCATTTTTGATCACGCAGATTTCTTTAGAATCACAGGTATAGTTGTCACATCTAATGACACCATTCTTCTGACATGTGCATCTTTTGGTGCAGTGTGGAGTTATCCAGGTCTCCCCAGCCTGGACACAAGTTGTGTGAATTATATGTTAAGGTGCTCAGCTTTGCAACGCAATAGAAGTTTAATAGCAAAGGATGTGGGGGCTGGATAGGTGCAACCTGCCCAGTTGGTGATTCCATAACGGCTCAACACAGGTGTACTCTCACCAAAAGCCTGGGAGGGGGAATGCCAGTCCATTTATCTTATTGTCTTTGACATGAAAATTTGAACACAAAATAGGACTAGGACAGACTGCCTGAATAACTCTGGTCAATTGACTAGTTTCAAATATGCCTCAATTTTGGCTTCAGGTGCAAAGTACCAAGCTCCTGCATCTCCTAGTACTTGAGCCTGCAGCTTTTACTAATCAAATTAAAGGTATTTAAGATGCAGACCCTGAAAATTTCTCTCTCTGTCTCATATTCAGATGGGCAGGAGACTAACTTTCTACAAGTTTTGCAGCCAGAGATTTGCTCCTCAGACAAACTACTTACAGTGTAGTAATTGTCGTCATCATCCCTGCAGCCACAATTGCTCAGAGGTACACACTTGTCACTACTGAGTACATAGTTATCATCACATTCACAGCCCTCTGTGCACTCTTCTGTCTTCTCACAAAGGGAAGAAGCAAAAATGTCGTTGCATGTTGATGGGCACAGGGAGACACAGTCTGTGTAATGGCTGTGGGATGGACAGGGCAATGCTGTGTGGGCGAAGAGAATAGAACCAGAGTTATGAAATATGTTTTAAAAGCACACTGCAGACATGTGTGCCTGACCAAAAGCTACAACTTGGCCTTTAAAATGGTAGTATAGAATTGCCTTTTAATAGCTGATTTTGATCATCAACCAGTTCTGATTTTTTATATTTTATTTAAAACAAAGACCAAGTAAAGAACCCTCTCTGGAGCTGCTGATTTCAGTTCTATTACAGGTATGCCTGAAGTGGTGGCAACTGGCACTAGATCATTCAGATTCAGTATTCCAGTTCAGCTGTAAATGCTTTTTTGGGCACTGCTAGAAATTAGAATCTTTAGGGCAAATTCCTTAACCCTCCACTGATGCAAACCAGGTGTATATCTAGCTTAACCACAGACATAAACACATGCAAGAACAACAGATAAACATCATCAGACTGAAGATTCATCTTCAAGAAACAGTTCAAGAAACAGGGCAGCAGGAAAAATGGTTCTTTTGTCCAGTATTTTCCCCCACTTTTGGCAAGGAAGAAACTAGGTATTTCTAATGGAACTGTTAAACCTTCATCTGGCTTGTTTTCTAACCAGTTGTTTTGTCCTCTATAACATTATGTGGTAACTAATTCCACAAAAAAAAAAAACAAACCCACAACAAAAGGAAACCCACTAAATTGTGAAAAAAACAAACCAACAAACTAATAGAAAAAAAAAAAGAAAGAAACCCATAGTGCAATCTTTAATAATTTTTATATAATTTGTTTGTAGCTTTGTTGAATGCACAGAGTGAGGCACATACACTGGAAATTCATCCAAGAACGTGGCCCTTACTAAGCAGAGCCAAATTGCCATTTTCATTTAAAACACAGTGAGTGGCATCAAGCCCTGCGGGAAAACACAGTATTCCACTGTTTTGGTTTGCTTCTGGTTACATTATTGCTCCATTTTAGGTTTATTGCAATATCTCATTTGCCTTCTAAAGCCATTCTAACTCCACATTACTATGCATAAGTTGTCTAGTCCTGAGTTACCACTGGGTTTAGCTCAGCCTGAACACAATTCAGTGCAGCAATGAAGCCATTAAATCATAATAATAAAATTACGTTTTGTAAGAATTGGAGTTTCATTTTCTTTTACATAACTTCTTCACCTAATCCAACTAATTTGTTTTCATGCTATTAACCATCCAAGTTTCATTTTTTCACTTGCTTGTGCACTTACGACAGAACGTGCTATTCCTCCATTTAATGGTGATTCCATGATTCCTGCAGGTGTCTACATAGGCTTGAACTATGTCACAGAGGGCAGACTTCATGCCATCATACTGGCACATGTCATAGATGCAGATCTGTATGAAGTCTTCAGGCTTGACTAGATCGTGACATGCTTTGAAATTGTCTGATTTTAGGACATTGCACTGGCTTTCAATGACTGGTTTACTCTCAGAAATGCAAGGAGGAACATCATCTTCTCTTAAGTCTGATAAACAACTGCATGAAAGCACAGACATAGCTACATTACAGTTTCAAAGACATATATAAGATTGAGACTGAAACTGAAAAATTTGTTTCTACTGAAATGTATTAAACAAACAAAGCTAGATACTTCAGTCTTTCTATCTATGAGTGAAAGATCAGGTGGAAGTAGATCTGCCTGGCAATCACCATGCTGTGTCTAACCTTCATTACTCTCATTGAACTTGACCCTAACTAGAGGATTGACTTCCCAGCTTGACCTCGGACCTCAGACCATTTTGTCACTGCCAGCTTGGGTGGTGATATGGACTCTTGGCCAACCCTGACTTCCACTCTTGGGCCTGCCTTGCTTGCATGGTGTAGGATGGGCCCTGGCTGGTGAAGCCACCATTCTCTTGGTCGTTTTATCATACTTGTTTCCCTGTCCCTGGCAGCAGCCAGGCCTTACTGTTCCTCAACACCGTCTTCCTGCTTTAGGTGTTTTTAGTGTAAGCCAGAGGCTATGTCCACACTTTGGACTGCCCCAAAGCCTAATTCCCCGAGTGTGTATGTGGATGAACAGAAAGTCTGTGGCTACCCTCTGGCCTGTGCAGTGTTTTCCTGTGGTATGGCTTTGAGCTTCACATTCAAGAAAAGAAAAGTCTCATATATGCTACTCAGATGTTACAAAGTAGCAAATAGTCAAAACAATTGAAAGGATACTTTCTCAAAGATAGAAAGTATGAAAAGAAGTTACATTTACCCTTCATCACTGTCTTCCTCCACTTCCCAGCTATTTCCAAACTGTGGGACACTGACGAGTGTACCATTGGGCAAGGACAGATCATCTTCACGATTATCATTGAAATTACCACACATGCCATGTACCTGCAAATGAAAAAGAACCATAGTCTAGGCACAATCTGTTCTTCATCAGCTTCCCCAAGAACTTCTTGCTCATTGCCTATGAAATGATATGACCAAATCACCACCGACACCCAATCTTATACCAGACATTGCATGATGTCTGATCACACCCATGAAGAAATAAAATAGAAACTGCAGTAAATCTGTGGTTCCCTAAGCTTTCAAGGTGTTTAATTCTAGAAACTAGATGCATTCCCCTAGCCCAGCCGTTTTCTTTCACTATCCTTTTGGAACTCAAGGACATTGTTGTGAAGAGAAAAAAAAATAGAAAGGAAAAAAAATAACATGTCACAATACAGCTACAAAGAAAGACGCAACAGCAAAACACAGAAATAAAAGAAATTAGAAGTAAATGTACAAAGCAGGAGTTTTGAAACACTCCCACATGTTTACATACTAAATCTTACCTTTGAGAAATAAGACTGTGGGAGAGTGATTTCCAGGTAGTGATTGCCATCATATTTTACTATCACACCAAAGTCAGTTTCCACTACTATAAATCTGCCAACATTTCCAATGGACACGCCTTGCAACCGGTTCTCCAATGGAGTGTAGACTCTCTCATTGTTCAGCTGGAGAGACATGTCATTTGTCAGTATGGACATTCTTCCATGAAAGCTTTTCTGCTTACAGTCTATATTCCTTGAAGTGCTGAAGAATCCTCTATGACAATTTTACCTCTTTTACACTTCCACCATTGCATATTCCAACTATGGGTTGCAGGAATGAGCCTTTTAGCTGAGGAGAGCTGGATGGGATTCAGCCTGTGCCTTTAAGAGAGAGCTGGAAAGATCCTTGGTAGTGAGCAAGTTCTTACCTGCCCATAGGGTGGATTCCCTGCTCTGGTAGTGCCATAGATTCTCATGCTATGCTAGACCAATACAGTATGACTCTCTTTTACTCTGCTCTTGTTAGCTAGCTGTTGACAAAAGCTACTGAAGTGGGAAGCCCCATTCTTTAGTTCAGGCAGCAGTTTTGCAGTCTGGAGGCTCTGGGCTCTGTCTCCAAGATATGCCCAGTAGAACAGTAAACCCCAAACAGAAGCCTTGGGAACTAGTGAGAAATTATGTTTCCTTGTAATACCCAGTTAATGGAGGTGCCCACATGTACATATTCCTTAGGAAACATAGCTTTCCTACAGCTACTGTAGTGAGCTAATCTTAAGCTACTTCTTGCCAGAATAAAGAGCATCACCACTTACCAGGATTCCTTGGTTTTTCTGAAGGGTGATTCGTACACCATACACATCTATGTAGACTTCTTTCAGGTATGTGGCCCCTCTTAGTCCTCTGTCTTCATTCTTGCCAAGGATGGTTATAGGAATAACACTGTTGGTGTTGACAACTTCAACCAAGGTGTAGGTGCAGGTACCCACAAAAGTGTACATCATTCCATCAAAAGTGAAATAGTGGGGATCTCCTGCCACTTGACATGTTGCTTGGCCTGAAGGTGAAAAAAATATCTAAGAACTTTGGACTGGATTTCACCTTGGATTCAGCTAACCAAAGTGCAACCATTAGTGCAACAACCTAATCCTTATCATCATTGTGTGGGCAAACCTTCACAGAGGTATCTATCTCAGGTTCATGCCAATTTGGAAATTTCCAGAAAGTGTCTCCTAAATTAAATTCACAAATTATGGCAAACTGGTTATTTGGCAGCAAATGAGCCTCTTTACACATTTCTATATTTCTATATATATTACAATATTATATATATTCCTATATGTTGTAGCTATGATTTATAGTTGTTGAGATTAATACAGAGTTTTTCTACATAGCTATATAAAAATACATACAGGTGTAGATCTAAAAGTAAATATTTTTTCATTTACATATATATCAATGCTTAATGCATTTGCCATTACCCAGACTCTCAGAAATGCAGTTCTCAATAATTCACAAATTTACAGCTTGTAATAATGTTTACTCGTGATGTAGGGCTTGAATTTGAATTATCAAGACAAAAAGACCCCAGGTGACCTTGCAGGCTTTTGGGTAGCATCAGTTTTTGCTGATATCCACTACAACAGAAGGGTATCTATGCTTGCAAGAAAGTTCGTCATATCTTTTCTTCTTTTAGCACTGGCACCAGTCATTTGAGATTTCTTTGCAATCCCATATATAAAGATATTTACAATAAAGCTAGAACTGAGAACTGTTTTCAGGCAGGACTTACCATTGGAATGACATCCCAGTACTCCATCCTGAATACTGCATTCCTCTTGGACTCCACACTCCCAGGATGTGCATTTGATGGTGTTATTAGCCTTGCAGGTGCAGCGTTCAGTGCAGGGATAACTGGTAAACCAGCTTTCATCCAGCTGAGTGAAAAAAAGAATGTAGAAGAATATACTATAAAATAGATTGGAAGGTAATACCATAAGGGACAGTCAAATTATTAGTATTTGAATGCGCATGATATATGATGGATTTGGGCAATTGTATTACACAGCTCACAGATCAAGAAGGCTGGGAAAATGAGTCTATTTGCTGCTATTAATGGCATAAATAATAATAGTGTTAGTGTTATTAATATTATTTACTCTCATGGTGATAAAGAATGAGATCCCCTGTTTGCTGGGTTTGGTGTTTTTTTTTCGCTTTAAGTGTCTGAATTAACTTGCCTGATGATACCGGTTTTTTTCATCAACACAACCGCAGCTGTTTTCTGGCACACATTTGTCTCCACTCAAAACATAGCCTTCCTTACAGAAGCAACCTTCCACTGGCAAGGAACTGCATGAATCAGCTGCTGAGATGTTCAAACAGGTAGAGGGACACCTAGTACCGCAGCTCTTGTAGATGCTGCCTCCAGAACAGGACATTGCTAGAGAGAAAAAGAAAAGGTAAGATCACTCAAAAGGGCAAAATAATGATAAAGGTTTTCCTGACGCTCACAAGGTTTGCTCCTGAAAATATTTAAAATTGCTGCTAGAAAGTCTGACACTGGAAAGTGCTTCATACAAAGGATTTTCTTGCTGGAAAGCTTTATTCTGAGAAATAAGAGTTCATTGTATGAAATTCCTCAAAAGGTCATTCTGAAGAAAATTAATTGGGAGATAAGTGAGAATACTTGATTTCTTTGCTTTATAGAGAAATACTTGTAAACTTCCTAGAAACAGCTCTTTCTCAAGTTTTCTTATTAAAGTAGCTTTTTAACCAAAAGCCATCTATAAGCATTTGTGCATGGAGGACTACCAGCTCTGCTTACACTGAGGATGGTAGATTCTCAGCGGAGCAAAGCAACAGTTATTTCCCCAGTGCAGAAGCTCACATGAGATAGTTGAAGGTAATCAAACTTTTCCAAAAAGCTGTTACTAAATTATTAAAACTTTCAGGATTAGACCTGCATATCCAAATGTTCTTGAAAATTAGGGTCTTATACAAATGCTGGAATGAAATGAAGCAGGCTTAAGATATGGCAAAAGGTTATACTCAAAACATTACATAAAATGAAATAACATGTATGAAAAGGTAGAGAAAATGTGCATACTGTTGATGTTTTAATCCGGAATAGATCTTTATAAGTCAAAACACTCACGGCAAAGTGTAGCATTCCTCCACTCTATGCAAATCCCAGCATTGATACATGACTCAGCATAGGCCTGCAGTCCATAGCATAAGGATGTTGCCTGTCCATCAGTGAAACACATGTCATAAACACAGTTGTCAAAGAAATTATCTGGAAGCACTCTGGAATGACAGTCCTTGAAGATTCCTGTGTAAATCAAGATACACAGAAGGATAAAAAAACAAAAGTGGAATTACTAGATCACCAACACCATCTATTTTCTGTCACGGTAAATGTATTGTGAGTGCTCCAGGCTAATTTTATTTACTAAGTTAAACCAACACTTGAAATGGAGCATGCACAATAAGACTTGACCCTCCAGATCAGGTTTTCTTCTTTTTGCATGATTGATAGAAGATAGCTTATATAAATTAGGAGTTGTTATCTAGGAAAGCCACTTATTCTAAACAACTTCAGGGGCTGTCCAATGCAGGGATCATGTACAGTATTTCAGATAAAGTATCTGAAATATATGCAATTACAGTGCTCTCTAAACTTTCTCTTAGCAAGCAGAGTGCAAGTCATTATAAAGCAAAGATCAGCTATGGCTCCCTACACAGATGCTCAGATAATCTTCATTGACACACTAGCACTGTCCAAATGGTTGACATATCTTGACCAAGTACCTATGAGTTTTATGTTGGCCATTCACACTGAAGGTTTTATATGTTTAATACAAGCTCAGAACAATGGACTATAGAAAGAAGGCAACACAAGCTATACAGTGACCCATGACATGGCTCACAGAGAACTACCAACATACTACCTGTTGGGTCTGTGATCATGCCACATGCTGTGTTCTTCTTTGCTTCACTCTCCAGCACAGGATCACACTGCTGGTTTGTTCCACTGGAGCATCTAGGGAAAACAAGCAAAATCAAATGTGTCTTACATCTCTTACCATCAGATTTGGAAGTGGAAGATTGACACATGACAACCCTGCACAACAGAGTGCATTTTATTACAGTCACAAGGCTCACTGATGTCAGCCTTAACACTGAATTGAATCCTTTTTGTATGCTTTCTGAGCTATTCAAAGGCTTATTCTTGGCTGCAAAAAGAGCCCATGGGATCCAGCTAGTTATGGTTTCTAGCCAGGGAACTGGACTGAAGTCCCATCCCCCTTCACATTCAGCAGACAGTTCTTGCTTGGAAAAACAAGACTCAAAGGACACAAATCCTCATTCCCTGTTTAATGTAAAGGAGCATGTCCTGACTTCTAATGGGCAGCTGAAAGATGTATAACGGTACTGGGTGACAAAGCCAGTGAGTGGAGGGATGTTTGGATTTATAAAGTTTGATTAGCAAATGACATGTGATTAAATTAATATACATACATGGTGTTATTCTCAGGCACAAGCCAGCTTTGTCCAAGATCAGTGGAACCACTTGCAATGTCACCATTGGGCTTTCTGTTGTCATCATTTGGATCACCATTATAATTACCTGTGAGGGTAAAAAGAGATTTATGGGACACATGAAGTTCTCACCTGTACAACAAACCTAGGTTTCAGGCTGTAATATAAACTACAATAAACTAGGGAGAGTATATATTCAACATCACTGTGTATATGCAAAATAAGAGCTCAGTTGTGTTTTAGACTTTGACCACTGACGAGCTGCTGCTCAGAGACTTGTGGACTTGAAGCAAGTAGTCTGTAAGTTCTTTTGTAACTTGGTTATGTTGCATACAAAAAAAAATTGCTTAGCTAAAAAAAACAAAAAACAACTCATTTCCTTGGATCCTACGTGTAGAATGCTGGACTAAAATCCAAATGGTGTATTTTGCACCATTACATACTTAGGTAGATTTCCTGAATTGAAAGTGTGAAAAACTCATGGAGAAATAACTGAAGTAGGAAATTTCAGATGATCCAAATCAAAGAATAATCAGAAACTGACAAGACAAACCACTCTTGTAATTTCTACAGTCCCATTTCCATCCTGAAAATCACCTGGATTTCAGACTGTTGTTGCAACTAACTCTGCACAGGTTCAGGCATTAGCAATGCTGCTGAGGAAAAATTATCGATCACTACTAATTCCATCAAGCTCCTACTCTCATTAGCTATATAAGTCACCTGTGACTTATTTACTTTGGTATCCTATTGCAACAGAATTTCTTACAGAACACATCAGATTGTGCCCTTTTTGTCTGATCTTTCTCATAGGACTCTAAAAGGCCTCTATGCTTTGTATCATATATAGCATTTAATGTTTGGTGATATTTGAATTTTGGAAATAAAGTATGAATTTTCTTTCTTATTCATCAAGTCTGTCAGCTCAGGTTTATCTGTATTGGATCCTTGTCATTGCTTTGTTTTAATGTAGACACAGCATATTTTATCTGGAATAAAAAAAAAAATAGGTAAAATAAGCTTTAGTGGTCTACTTTTTCTTTTATTGATTCAGCTTTTCTTTTTTTGCCTTTGATCATATAAACACGATCATTCAGATTATAAAATAACCTCCTAAAACTGCACAGGAAAACAGCAGCAGGAAAGCTTGAGGATGTTGACAGTAAGCTATTCTGAAGATTTCTCTTTACTGTGGAAACAGGCTCAAGTTTTTATGATTCACAAATGAAATGATCCAACAAAGGACAAATACATCAGAATGTAAATAACAGGAAAACACAGAGTTCTTTAGTAGATGCATGTAAATCATTACTCTTCCTGAATTTAAACTGTAGAACTGAAGTGAGGGTTTTTATTTGGCTAAAAGTGTAATTTGTAGATATACCTCACAACATCCCAAATGGATAGCACGTTAACAGGAATTTTGTAAGTAAGAGTTCTTAGAAACTTAAAAATTCCTTGACGTTTTCTTCACTGCTGTAAATTCTGGTCCACTTGGCAAGGAACAGTTGGGTGTAGAAAAAATATGACATAATAAGTAAATAAGTTTAAGCAATCACCAGCCTCCACAACTCACTAAAAAGTGACTAAGCCTATGACTTACCACAGAGGCCACAGAGCAGACCACTGTAATCAGAAGGCACAGAGATTTCTGCGTAGTGATTTCCATCATATCTCACCCACAGTCCAAAGTCAGTTTCCAAGAGAACATATCCACCAGTGCTTTGAATACTGATCTTCTTTTCAATATATACAGGCAAGTTCATCCTGCTGCCATTCACCTATACAGCAAGTTGTAAAAGTTACTGTATAGCTGCTAGTATTCCTACAACTTCCAGCAGCTAGAATAGATTAGAGGAATATATGACCTTGTGCACAAGGGAACTGGAAGCAATTAAAAAACACTTCATCTGAGCAAATTTGTTGGACATCTCACTAAAAGAGGTACATTTAACTAATAAAAAGAGAAAGTTTGCTGTAAACTCTACAGAGAAAATATTTATCTGCATGTCAGCTTAAAAAGATACATGTCTTTTAAATAACTATTCTCTTACATTCACTTTCCTGGTTTTCAGCAAAGATATATGGTTGCCATAGACTTCCACTTGCACTGACTTCACATAAGAGACTTTGGTGTTGGCTCCTCTGTGTTCATTCGTTGTGGATACATCAAAGTATGGAAGCCCCTCAGAGATGTTGCACACTTTGGAGAGGGTGTAAGTGCAATTTCCCATGAAATTATGAACTCTGTGGTCAAAAGTGTTATAATGTGGATCCCCAGAGGCACTGCAGAAAGCACGGCCTGGGAAGAAAGAAAGACAAATTCCCTCTGAATCTCTACCAGACTTCCGTAGTTGCTTTGTTCCCACTTCGTTTGCTTCACTTTGTAATTGCTGCTTAGATATAAACAGTGATGGCGTCAGTCAAAAACATACCAAAGCCCAGTACAGTCTCCTATCTTTGAACCAATAAAGAATCTGTACTCTTGAGTATCAGAAATCTGTGCGGGAGTCTGAGGGTGAAATAAAAGCAGAAAGCTTTGATATCAAGAAAAGCATCATTATTAAGACATCATTATATAAAGTGGAGCAATGAGTTTTTAATGTCCATGTCTGAAAGGTTATTTCTGAATAAATAAGAATGTAATCAAAAAAATGTGCAGGGTTCGTTAGCCAGAATAGACTGCTGCGCTACCAGCTGTCTGGGGTTCTGAACTTGCATCAGTTATGGAATTCCTCTTGAACACTGCAGACATACTTTTTAAAAATATCAAAATTAACTAGCCAGAGATAATATGTGCAAATAGAGGTACACTGCGTGCATATGTGTGAGCTGAGTAAGGTTTTGAGTGCTAATAAGAAATTCCCATTTTCAACAAAAAATCCTCCCATCAAATCTTAGCAGAGTTGAGTTTGCAGGTGCATTATGATGATTATTAACCACAACAAAAAATAATGAAGATAGGTCCATCCTTCTCTGATTTTCAATGGCACATTACAAAAGTAGCTACACTTAAGGTTGTGTCTACATGTCAACCTTAACCACTTACATATAAACTATTAAAACTCCAGGAATTATATACATAAACATTATTTAGAAAAAAATAAAAAATGCAGAAGACATCCAAACTGATGAGATGAGCTGGCAGTCTCTTGTACTTAACGAGCCAACATATGTAGAAGAATTAGTGCTCAAAATTGGAGAAAGAAGCAGTTAAAACTTACCTGAACTGAAATATAGTGTTTCCTAAGCATTAAAACTACAATAATCACAACTCAGTCTTTTTGAGGACAGAATAATAAGTTTATATTAAAAAAAAATGGGAAACTAAATTAAATATCAAAATACTACCAACAATAACTGTATAACTAAAATCCTACAAACAATAAACGGTATAACACTTGAAAACTTGCCATAGAACAGGATACTTTATATATTTATGTAAATGTCAATAAAGGGTATGGGAGATAACAAGCAAGCAGTTGGTCTACTGTTACCAAAAACCCCAAAACTTGGCAAAAGGGACAAATGGCAGGAGTTACACTGTCATTACTCAGAGAAGATCCCACACTGAAGCACTGTCCCACCAGTGAATATTGGGTGAGCAAGAAAAAGCTCTGACCCTCCACTATAAAAACTGTGTCACCTGGCTGAGGAAAAACGATCAGAAACACAGAGAAATTCTGACAGGCAAAAAGAGAACGGAGAAGAGATGAGTACCTGAGCTTACTGTGGGTCTTGGTGGGGATGGCATGTGTGGACATGTGGAGTTCGTGGACATGTGGACCAACATGTGAATTTTAATTAAGAAAGCTGGCCCAACTCTCCCAAATACACTAACACCATATCCAGAGAGGCCCAGGACTGTGATTCCAGTGTCTCCTCAGAAAAAACTAAAGGACTTAGGCGCTCTCCAACAAATACTGTCAGGATATAAACAAAGGTATGCAGCCAGTTCACTACAGAATCCTTATATCTTAGCCATGTGACTCAAAGACAGACAACTGAATGCTTCCTACAAGCAGTAGAAGACAGAGGCAGGATGTGGCAGTACCTGAGCTTGGTGTGGGTCTTGATGTATGAGGAGGTTGTGTTGTGCTAGGCAAGGCAGTCTCAGGTTCTCCGGTGGATGGACCTAGCAGAAGAGAGAATTAGAGGATACCAGCACTGACATGAGAGTATTGCTCCAGGAAGCTGACCAACCTTCCCAAACACCCAACACCATGACAAGAATGACACAGGACAGGAATTCCACAGTGAATGCTCAGAAAAACTCCTCAGGACTCAAGTGCTCTCCCACCAACATTTATGGATATAGCAGGAGACATGCAGTGCATTGACTACAGAAATTCATGCCTTGGTCATGACAGTCAAAGACAGACAACTGAACACTTGCCACAAGCAGTAGAAGACAGGGACAGGACATGGCAATACCTGAGCTTGGTGTGGGTCTTGGTGTGTGAGGAGGTTGTGTTGTGCTTGGCAAGGCAGTCCCAGGTTCTCCGGTGGATGGACCTAGCAGAAAAGAGAATTAGAGGATACCAGCACTGACATGAGAGTATTGCTCCAGGAAGCTGACCAACCTTCCCAAACAACCAACACCATGACCAGAGAGACGCAGGACAGGAATTCCACAATGAATCCTCAGAAAAACTCCTCAGGACTCACGTGCTCTCCCACCAACATTTATAGATATAGCAGGAGACATGCAGTGCATTGACTACAGAAATTTATGCCTTGGCCATGAAGGTCAAAGACAGACAACTGAACACTTGCCACAAGCAGCAGAAGACCGAGACGGGATGTGGCAGTACCTGAGCTTGGTGTGGGTCTTGATGTATGAGAAGGCTGTGTTGTGCTAGGCAAGGCGGTTCCAGATTCTCCGGTGGATGGACCTAGCAGAAGAGAGAATTAGAGGATACCAGCACTGACATGAGAGTATTGCTCCAGGAAGCTGACCAACCTTCCCAAACACCCAACACCATGACCAGAGAGACGCAGGACAGGAATTCCACAATGAATCCTCAGAAAAACTCCTCAGGACTCAAGTGCTCTCCCACCAATATTTATGGATATAGCAGGAGACATGCAGTGCATTGACTACAGAAATTTATGCCTTGGCCATGAAGGTCAAAGACAGACAACTGAACACTTGCCACAAGCAGTAGAAGACAGGGACAGGACATGGCAATACCTGAGCTTGGTGTGGGTCTTGGTGTATGAGGAGGTTGTGTTGTGCTTGGCAAGGCAGTCCCAGGTTCTCCGGTGGATGGACCTAGAACAAGAGAAAGGTAGAGGAGAGGTGCACCAATATGGGAGTTTTGTTGCAAGCAAGACCTTTTCCAAACACCAACACCATGACCAGAGAGGTGCAGAACAGGGATCACCCAGTGAGTCCCCCATGAAAACTACAGTACTTGAATGTCCTCCCACTAGCATAGATGAGTGACAGAAAGAGACACGCAGCTCCTTCACTACAATCACTTCATCCCCGAGTCTTGAGGCTTAAATAAAGACAACCGAACACTTGCCACAAGCAGCAGAAGACAGAGACGGGATGTGGCAGTACCTGAGCTTGGTGTGGGTCTTGATGTATGAGGAGGCTGTGTTGTGCTAGGCAAGGCGGTTCCAGGTTCTCCGGTGGATGGACCTAGCAGAAGAGAGAATTAGAGGATACCAGCACTGACATGAGAGTATTGCTCCAGGAAGCTGACCAACCTTCCCAAACACCCAACACCATGACCAGAGAGACGCAGGACAGGAATTCCACAATGAATCCTCAGAAAAACTCCTCAGGACTCAAGTGCTCTCCCACCAACATTTATGGATATAGCAGGAGACATGCAGTGCATTGACTACAGAAATTTATGCCTTGGCCATGAAGGTCAAAGACAGACAACTGAACACTTGCCACAAGCAGTAGAAGACAGGGACAGGACATGGCAATACCTGAGCTTGGTGTGGGTCTTGGTGTGTGAGGAAGCTGAGTTGTGTTTGGCAAGGTGGTCCCAGGTTCTCCGGTGGATGGACCTAGCACAAGAGAGAGTTGGGGGAAATCGGTGTCAGCACGGGGGATTTGTGGCAGGCCACTGCCCACTCTTCCCAAACACCCAACACTGTGACCAGAAAGGCCCAGGGGTGGCACAGCTAGGTGATAGGAATTGACGCACAGACCTTCAATACAGACACTCCCTCTCTTGGCCATGAGCCTTGAAGAAAGCTAATTGAAAGCTTGTCACAAGCAGTAGAAAACTGGGAGGGAGCAAGAGATTACCTGAACTCGGTGTGGGTCTTGGTGGTGACGGCGTGCGTGGAGGCTGTGTTGTAGTTCCTGGCAAAGGGAGCGTGGGTTTTGGTGTCGATGGATCTAGCACAAGAGAGAGTCAGTGGGCATCCGAGCTCACATGTGCGTTTTGCTTCAGGAAGCTGACCCAAGCTTCCCAAACACATCAACACCACACCCGGAGAGGCCCAGGGCAGGGATCGGAAAGAACCGTGCCACTCAAGGGCTCTGCCACCATCACAGCTGGGTGACAAAAGCAGATTAGACTCTTCAGTACCTATGCTCGGTGTCTTGGCTGTGCGCCTTCTAATACACAAACTAAGTAGCGACTGCAGGCACCGCCAGTGCTCCAGTCTCTCAGAGGAAAGCCTGCTCGGGCACAGGCTGCAACACTGGCCTACAGGGCGTTGCAAAGAGAACCTGCGCTCCTGCCTCTAAGTGTAGCCTTCCACCTCGGTGACATCTCTCAAGCTGCCCTTCCCCAAGACAAGGCTGGTACCTTCGCAGGATCCTTCTTCGATGGACAGATCATCCAACGCTACGTCACTGCGGATATTTTCACCCCATTCACCCTCCAGGACAATCTAAGGGAAGGGACATTTCCCAGCATTAGCTCCAGCCACATGTGTGAAGTGCCATTAGAAAGCACGGTTCACCTCAGACAGCAGTGAGCCTGTGCCCTTACCTGCATGTTTCCTGTGCTGTGCACTGTGACCTCTCCCATGTTCCATCTGTCCCCATGGTTCCCAACGCTGCTCCAGACCAGCTCTAGGTCTTCGTCCTTAACCACGTACACCCGCAGGGCCATTGTTTCAGCCGCTCCGTACATGTGATACCAGAAGCGGAAGCAGTGTGGTCCTTCTGAACTGCACACCGGACTGACCAGCTGAGCCACAAAGCCAGGGAGGGCATTGCTCCCTTGCAGGTAGATGTAGTAGCCGTCTGAAACACAGTGTGAGACACACCATCCCATGCATAATCAAATCCAGACCAAGCAGCCAGACACAGCCCAAGCACAGTCCTGGAGCACCCCTCCAGGGCTTCAAGGCAGGCAAAAGGAGGGGACAGCAAATATAGGTCCTTTGCTAGCCACAACACTCCCCCAGGCCTGAGTCCGTGTCCTGGGTTCACCTGGTGGCGGCCAAAGCAGGCCTGCGGCCACACCGCCCTGAAAACGCCCGATCCCGTCTGATCTCGGAAGCTAAGCAGGGTCAGGCTTGGTTCGTACTTGGATGGGAGGCTGCCTGGGAATCCTGGGAAAGCTGTAGGCTTTTCTTCCTTGTTATTTCCTTTATCATTATTATTATAGGTGGTAGCAGTAGTGGTTTGTGCTATACCTTAGTTACTAAACTGTTCTTACCTCAACCCATGGGAATTACATTCTTTCGATTGTCCTCCCCACCCTCCAGGAGCGGGGAAAGGAAAGGGGGGAGTGAGAGAGCGACTGCGTGATTTACAGCTGAGCTTAAACCACGACAGCCCGCCTATGAACCATGCTCTCTGTATGGCTTGGACCGGGTAACCGCCAATGCATTGCCACAGTCCTCGCATGGCTCTGCCACTTTGCGTTCCACTCATCGCTGGCTACTGGAGAAGCCACCGTCTCCTAAAATAGAGACCCGTTCTTGTTCTGAGCCAAGCCAGGTCATCAAACTTTGCATTACTTTCCCCCTTGTCTGGCAGGTCCTTGCCTGCCCTGAGGTACCACAGGCTGACTCCCAGCCCTGCAGCGCTTCCTGAAGGACGGCTCTGCGAAAGACAGCCACAAAAAGGCTCTGGATCAAGGTCAGGAAACATGTGGCCCAAATTTGCTCTTAGAAAAGGTTAGTTGCATCTTCCTAGGGACACCCCTCTGCCAGAAGGACCGCTGTGTACGGACTGCTGTTCCTACCTCCCGTCGTGTGGTCAGAGGACGGACCCGTATCTTGCGTGGGTGTCGGACCCTTGTTCCTCATCCAGTCAATGCTGCTGTAATCTGCCTGGACCCACTCGCAGAAGTCGTTGTCGAATGTGCAATCAAAATTGCAGTCTGCTGTGGGAGCTGGGTATGGCGCAGAGAAGAAAGCAGAGATTCTAGGGTGAGGACAGGCCAGCTTTTCTCTGTGTCCCACAGGGCACACCTACCTCCCTGGCACGTTCAGGTCAGGTGAGGATGGCCAACTGAGTGGAAGTGCACAAGCTGGGTGCCTAGCACAGCCAGTAAAACACATGAATGGGACACAACAGTACCTGTGCTCGTCCCAGGCGCTGGTGATATTGTTGTATGTGGAGGCCGCGTTGAGGTGCCTGGCAACGGGGACGAGGTTGTAGGAGCTGCTGGATGTACAGTGAAAGAGAGGTGGAGATGACGGGTTTCATAATGGAGATTTGTTCCCAAGAGGGGATGTTGCGCCTTCCCAAACACACCCACATCATGGCAAAAGGAGCACAGCAGAGGAAATCCACAATATCCCAGTCACAAAGAGACTCTCCACCCAAGGGCTGGCCCACCAGCACTGTTAAGTGCCCCCTTAACAGGGCAAACCTCCACCACTGCTGCCCCATTCCCTGAATCTGGGCCACAACGGAAATCAACAGAACACTTACCACAGACAGTGCCAGCACTCCAGTCTCCCAGGGCAACGCCTGCCTCGGCACACGCTGCAGCATAGGCCTCCAAGTCATTGCAGAGCTGCTCAGTGCTGCCGCCCGTGGCACACTGGTCATAGACACAGCTCTCAAAGTACGTCTTGGGTGGTACAACTGCATGGCATGGCTGGAACGGGCCACCAAGTTGCGTGAGGATTGCACACTGCTTGTTAGCTGCCTCCTCCTCAGAGGGGGAGCAGGACGGGGGCGGGTTGATGGCTGGGTCGCACCTAGGAAGCAGAAAAGCAGCCCTGAGCTCACAACAGCCTGTGGACTCCAGCCACACCATTTCCAGACCTTGTCTCAGCCAAAACCTCAGCCTCTGGAGTCCACAGCCCTCGATAAGAGAAGGCACCAAGTGCTGTCTCTTGCGAGGGTGGGCAAAATGGTTCACAGTGGACTGGGAGGGCAGAGCCATGCACAGAGGTCACCAAGGACCACAGAGCTGAGCGCCTATGGGGAGAGAGCAGAGAGCACCATGCACCCTGACCGCATGGAGAGGCCTGGACAGTGCCACAAACAAGCCAGCCCTGAGAGGAAAGGGGAACGGCCACACGTCTGGCACCCATTTGCACACAAGACATCCCACTCTTGGGTGGAGCAGAGGTGAGATGCAAGGACGATGCGTCTGTTGCAGTGGAGCTTCTACGTGCCCTCACGCGCACTGTCACAACTGCCTCCTCCTCTCCCACACACCATGTGCCCATGCCTACCATTACCAACCCTCCCTGCTTCTGCCCCTCACAGCTCCCCTCTCCCATGCTCCCTTTTGTCCGTCAGCTATGCAGTGGAACAAGGACTCACGGCCATTCATCATCCGGCACCATCCAGCTGGCCCCAAAGTCATTGAAGTCAGGCACGACAACCCCATCAGGTCGCATGAAGTCATCTTGCTGGTTCCCAGTGTACGTCCCACACAGCCCACACAGCTTGCCCTTGTGCTTCTCAGACACCTTCACTAGGAGCTCATCATCCCCATTGAACAGCAGCTGCAGGCCCAGCTCGGTAGAAACCCACACGTAGGAGCCACTCAGGGAAATGTTTACACCGGGGGCAGGAGAAGCAGGCAGGGAGGCCAGAGCACCATTGATCTGAATAAGAGGGACAGAGCGAGACAGAAGCATAAACAGATGCCCTCCACTGAGAGTTCACTCTTTTCCACTCTGACAGTGCCAGGGCCCTGGGAGTCAGGAGGACGAATGGCATGAGAAACCCTGCCCAGGCCTATGAGAACAGCAGCGACTACAGACGCCACACTGAAAGCTAAGGAAAACAAGCCGAAAATCTCTTGCTGCACAAGCAGCCATTTCAGCACCACTCAGAGCCTCGCCATGCTCTTATGCGAGCGCACCAGCAGGCTCAGGGAACATCAAGCTCTTCTCGGGGACAGAGTGGTACTTTAGGGTGGCCAGGGCATCCGTTGTTCCCAGGTGTAAAAACGAGGGGCTTACGTAGACCGCCTTGTTCTCACGCAGGGCAATGTGGAGGCCTTCCATGGACAGTGCCACCGAGTTCAGAGCTGTCCAGCTCAGGCTGCCACGATGTTCGTTGCGGGTGGTGACACTGAACCCAGCGGAGGAGTTGTCACAGCCTGTCACCACTGTGTAGTTGCAAGAGCCCTGGAAGTGGTGAAGCTTCCCATCGAAGGTGCTGTAATGCGGGTCGCCGTAGATGTGGCAGAGAGCGGTGCTGGCTGGGTAGCAGCCCCTCTGGCCGTCCTGGATCTTGCAGACCTCATCCTCACCACAGGACAACGGAGAGCAAACCATCTGGCCCTTGGCTTCACAGCGGCACTGGCGATCACAGTCCTCGCTCACAGAGTACTCGCCTTCCTGCAGGCAGACAAACACCGAGCGTCAGTCTATCAGGCTGGAAAGCAGAGGCAAGGGAGTGCCCTGGGAGGGGTGCAAGCCAGGGCAGGGTTTTCACTCACGCTGTAGTAGTTGCCCTCAAAGAGGCAGCCACAGTGGGCCTCGGGCACACACGTGTCTCCGCTGAGAAGGAAGCCAGAGGTACATGCGCAGCCCTCCATGCAGGGCTTGGAGCAGTTCTGCGGGGCTTGTCGGTCAACACAGGTGGCAGGACAGCCAGTCATGCAAGGGTCATAGTAGCTGTTGTCGGGGCACAGCAGGGCTGCAATGGGAAGGGGACAATTGAGACCAGCAAGCCTTCAAGGAAGGAGGACCTTCTGAGAAGTGGCAAACAAACGACTTGCTGTGGCCAGAGGTTCTGGGAACAGGGAGCGGAACATTTCCCTCCCGGCAATTGCAAAGCAGGTACTCACGGCAGAAGGTCGCATTCCGCCAGGGAAGAAGAGTCACACCGGCTGCTTGGCAGGCGTCAGCGTAGGCCTCCAGAGCAGCACACAGCACCTCCTGGCCACCATTCAGGGCACACAGGTCATAGAAGCAGGTCTCAAAGTAGCTCTGCGGGTTGATCACAGCGTGGCACTTCTCAAAAGAGCCAGGACTGGCGGTCAGCATGCCACAGAACTGGTCCGATCCGTAGAGCTTCTCCTCTTCTGCACTGCAGGGTGGGGAGGGGTCGGGGACACCGCAAGGTGAGTCACTCTCTGGGACCTGCCAGCTCTCCCCCAGCTCATTGGAGTCTGCGGCTTGCTGCCCGTTGGGCATCATGTAATCGTCCTCCCTACGGTTGTTGAAGTTCCCACACATGCCACAGGTCAGGTTGAAGTAGGTGGTGGGCACCTTCACCTCCACCGAGTGGTCAGTGTCGTAGGACACTCTGAGGTCGAAGTCTGTCTCCAGGACAATGTAGCGGCCACTCCTGCTCACCGTGATGGCACCTCCCGCTGCACTCACCGGCAAGGTCTGGCGCACATTGTTCACCTAGGGCAGACACACGGCAATGGGCCTGGGCCCTGCACTTGTCCCTGGCATTCCTGGCTCTCCTGCCCCGAGGAAATCTGCTCCCAGCCCAGGCGCAGCAAACCGGAGCCCGCGATGCCCTCACAACCCAGTTGCCCCTCTGGCTTGCAGAGCCGTGGCTGTGCTCTGCTCCCTGCAGGGGCCGCTCTTCACCGTCGGCCACATTCCCCATTTGCCTCTTCCTCCTCAACCCCTCCAGAAAAGTAAAAGAAAGCAACCCAGTGGCTTCAGGGGAACCCGCCCACACCTGGCACAATGAAGGTGTCTGGTACACACCATGCCATGCCCTGCCAAGAAAAGCCAGCCCTGCCTTGCTGCCTTGCAGCTGTGCCATGCTCATGCCGGCCCCACTGCCTACCAGCACTTGGCTCTTCTCCTTCTTGACAATGGCAATGCGCTCTCCGTACACCTCAACCAGGACTTCGCGCACATAGGACACTCTGGTGTTCCCACGATGCTCGTTCTTGGCCTCAACGTTGAAGTAGGGCAGGGAGGTGGTGTTGGAGCACACTTTGGCCAGGGTGTAGGTGCAGTTGCCCATGAAGTTGTGCGTCACCTTGTCAAAGGTGTTGTAGTGAGGGTCACCGTGGACATGGCAGATGCCGTAGGATTGCTCGAGGCACTCAGGTCTCCCATCCTGCACCCCACAGAACTGGCCCGCAGGGCATGAGGCGTTAAAGCACTGGACTTTGCTTCCCCGCGCGGGACACGTGCACTTTGACGAGCAGGTGTTGTCTGTCCAGAACTCAGAGCCCACGGGGTAGTGCTGCCCGTTGTGCCAGCACCCACACTGCTGGCTGGCCACGCACTGGTCATTGTAGAGCAGGTACCCGCTGTCGCACACACAGCCCTCCACACACGGCAGGCTGCAGCTAGCAGGAGCCATGGGATCAACACAGGTGGCAGGGCAGGCTGCAGCACACGGCTCGTAGTGACTGTTGGCTGGACAGGTGACAGCTGCCGAGACAGAACATATGGCCATTAGATGATGTCTCTGTGCTGTATTCTCCCCTTTGGAAAATTAACCGTCTGCATTATTTTCTCTGTGATCTGCTTGGCTCCACGGGTATTCTAAATCATACCTGAGCAAACGAAGCAGAAAACGGTGCCCCTGATTCTGACAACTACCTGTAAATCCGCAAGGCACGTAACAAAAACATTTATTATTCCCCACCCCACTCTTTCATTCCAATTCTATGTTTTACTGAGAGTAACAGTCTGTGGTACCGTGTGTGGACTTACGGCAGAAGGTTGCGTTCCTCCACACAGGTATCTTGACACCAAGCGACTGGCAGGCATCCGCGTAGGACTGCAAGCTCTTGCACAGGGCTTCGTGGTCCAGCTCCAGCTCGCACAGGTCATAAGAGCAGGTGTCAAAGTAACTGCTGGGGCTCAGCACAGCGTGGCACATCTGGAACGGGCCGCCGGTGTCGGTGAGGAGCCCACAGAAGTGGCTGCTGGCTATGACTTGCTTGTCTGTCTCACTGCAGGCTGGGGTGGGGAGTGGTCCGGCTGAGCAGCTGTGGAAAGACAGGAAGCAGGGCCCCTGAGTCACCTGTGGGCTTCTCCTCGTGTCTCAACATACCCTTGCCCGACACGTCCCCAGACCTGCTGAGGGACAACACATACCTGCTGTCGTTGGACACCTGCCAGCTGTTGCCCAGGCTGGTGGAGTCTGGCTCCAGCACCCCTTCCGGGTTCAGGAAGTCATCTGATGCCATCCCGTTGAAGTTGCCACACATGCCACACACCTTCTGCCCAAAGGTGCTCGGAAGCGTCACCTCCACCCGATGGCTCCCATCAAACTTCACTTTCAAGCCAAAGTCTGTTGTGACCACAGTGTAGAACCCGCTGGACGAGACCTGCACACCTGCGGATGGGGTGCAAGGCAGGACCTCTGCCACTCCATTGACCTGGAAGGACAGAAAACAAGACAGGGTTGGAGCGACCCATTCGACACAGTCCTCTCCTCTCACACAGCACAGCGCCTCTCTTCCTTGTGCTTACCGTCACCGAACCACCCTTCCCCAGCCTTATCCGCTGGCCAGCCACATCGACATCCACATATTGGACGTAGGACACGCGAATGTTGTCTCCCCTGTGCTCGTTGGCTGCTTCCACGTTGAAGTAGGGCAGAGAACTGTTGCTCTCGCACAGCTTAGAGAGGGTGTAAGTGCAGGTGCCCATGAAGTGGTGCAGCTGATTGTCAAACGTGTGGTAGTGAGGGTCTCCTTCTACCACACAGGTCCCTGGCAGTGGAAAGACGAGAGTTCAGTTAAGCACCTCCTGTTGCCTCTTCTCCTAAGCCCACCTTCACCAAAGAACATCAGCCCCATGACTGGTATAGCGCTTTTACCAAGGGACCTGTTACCAGAAATCTGTGTTAAGAATGAAGTAGTTTTTCCAGTCATCTGGTTCAAATCTCCTCAAATAACTAAATGCCAGAAGCACAGGTGCCCCACCCAAGCGCCCGAAAAGGAATATCACTCACTGTGTGTCTCAATATGGCAGGGAAGTGATAGAAAGCAAACACGAACCATCCAATGAAAATGCAAATTGCATCCACTATGGGTTTCCAAGATGACTCAAAACACTAACAATAATAGCAGTAGCTGAAGTCGTACCAGGTGGTGGTGGTGGTGGTTGTGTTCCTTGTGTTGTCTGTGTTGTGGTGCCTGGCAATGGGGTCGATGTTGTAGAAGGAAGAGGACCTGTGGTGAGACAGAGGTAGACCTAGTGAGTGTCAATAATGCGGTTATCTTGCAAGCACCTGGCCTGCCCTTCCCAAACACCCAACACTGTGACCAGAGAGACGTAGAACAGGGATTACACAGTGAGGCCCAGCAGAGATTTCTGCACTCAAGTGCTATCTAAACAGCACTCCCAGGTGATAAAAGGAGACACACAGCTCCTTCAATACAGACACTCCCTCTCTTGGCCGTGAGCCTCGAAGAAAGCTAATTGAAAACTTGCCACAAGCAGTAGAAGACAGGGACAGGACATGGCAATACCTGAGCTTGGTGTGGGTCTTGGTGTATGAGGAGGTTGTGTTGTGCTTGGCAAGGCAGTCCCAGGTTCTCCGGTGGATGGACCTAGAACAAGAGAAAGGTAGAGGAGAGGTGCACCAATATGGGAGTTTTGTTGCAAGCAAGACCTTTTCCAAACACCAACACCATGACCAGAGAGGTGCAGAACAGGGATCACCCAGTGAGTCCCCCATGAAAACTACAGTACTTGAATGTCCTCCCACTAGCATAGATGAGTGACAGAAAGAGACACGCAGCTCCTTCACTACAATCACTTCATCCCCGAGTCTTGAGGCTTAAATAAAGACAACCGAACACTTGCCACAAGCAGCAGAAGACAGAGACGGGATGTGGCAGTACCTGAGCTTGGTGTGGGTCTTGATGTATGAGGAGGCTGTGTTGTGCTAGGCAAGGCGGTTCCAGGTTCTCCGGTGGATGGACCTAGCAGAAGAGAGAATTAGAGAATACCAGCACTGACATGAGAGTATTGCTCCAGGAAGCTGACCAACCTTCCCAAACACCCAACACCATGACCAGAGAGACGCAGGACAGGAATTCCACAATGAATCCTCAGAAAAACTCCTCAGGACTCAAGTGCTCTCCCACCAACATTTATGGATATAGCAGGAGACATGCAGTGCATTGACTACAGAAATTTATGCCTTGGCCATGAAGGTCAAAGACAGACAACTGAACACTTGCCACAAGCAGTAGAAGACAGGGACAGGACATGGCAATACCTGAGCTTGGTGTGGGTCTTGGTGTGTGAGGAAGCTGAGTTGTGTTTGGCAAGGTGGTCCCAGGTTCTCCGGTGGATGGACCTAGCACAAGAGAGAGTTGGGGGAAATCGGTGTCAGCACGGGGGATTTGTGGCAGGCCACTGCCCACTCTTCCCAAACACCCAACACTGTGACCAGAAAGGCCCAGGGGTGGCACAGCTAGGTGATAGGAATTGACGCACAGACCTTCAATACAGACACTCCCTCTCTTGGCCATGAGCCTTGAAGAAAGCTAATTGAAAGCTTGTCACAAGCAGTAGAAAACTGGGAGGGAGCAAGAGATTACCTGAACTCGGTGTGGGTCTTGGTGGTGACGGCGTGCGTGGAGGCTGTGTTGTAGTTCCTGGCAAAGGGAGCGTGGGTTTTGGTGTCGATGGATCTAGCACAAGAGAGAGTCAGTGGGCATCCGAGCTCACATGTGCGTTTTGCTTCAGGAAGCTGACCCAAGCTTCCCAAACACATCAACACCACACCCGGAGAGGCCCAGGGCAGGGATCGGAAAGAACCGTGCCACTCAAGGGCTCTGCCACCATCACAGCTGGGTGACAAAAGCAGATTAGACTCTTCAGTACCTATGCTCGGTGTCTTGGCTGTGCGCCTTCTAATACACAAACTAAGTAGCGACTGCAGGCACCGCCAGTGCTCCAGTCTCTCAGAGGAAAGCCTGCTCGGGCACAGGCTGCAACACTGGCCTACAGGGCGTTGCAAAGAGAACCTGCGCTCCTGCCTCTAAGTGTAGCCTTCCACCTCGGTGACATCTCTCAAGCTGCCCTTCCCCAAGACAAGGCTGGTACCTTCGCAGGATCCTTCTTCGATGGACAGATCATCCAACGCTACGTCACTGCGGATATTTTCACCCCATTCACCCTCCAGGACAATCTAAGGGAAGGGACATTTCCCAGCATTAGCTCCAGCCACATGTGTGAAGTGCCATTAGAAAGCACGGTTCACCTCAGACAGCAGTGAGCCTGTGCCCTTACCTGCATGTTTCCTGTGCTGTGCACTGTGACCTCTCCCATGTTCCATCTGTCCCCATGGTTCCCAACGCTGCTCCAGACCAGCTCTAGGTCTTCGTCCTTAACCACGTACACCCGCAGGGCCATTGTTTCAGCCGCTCCGTACATGTGATACCAGAAGCGGAAGCAGTGTGGTCCTTCTGAACTGCACACCGGACTGACCAGCTGAGCCACAAAGCCAGGGAGGGCATTGCTCCCTTGCAGGTAGATGTAGTAGCCGTCTGAAACACAGTGTGAGACACACCATCCCATGCATAATCAAATCCAGACCAAGCAGCCAGACACAGCCCAAGCACAGTCCTGGAGCACCCCTCCAGGGCTTCAAGGCAGGCAAAAGGAGGGGACAGCAAATATAGGTCCTTTGCTAGCCACAACACTCCCCCAGGCCTGAGTCCGTGTCCTGGGTTCACCTGGTGGCGGCCAAAGCAGGCCTGCGGCCACACCGCCCTGAAAACGCCCGATCCCGTCTGATCTCGGAAGCTAAGCAGGGTCAGGCTTGGTTCGTACTTGGATGGGAGGCTGCCTGGGAATCCTGGGAAAGCTGTAGGCTTTTCTTCCTTGTTATTTCCTTTATCATTATTATTATAGGTGGTAGCAGTAGTGGTTTGTGCTATACCTTAGTTACTAAACTGTTCTTACCTCAACCCATGGGAATTACATTCTTTCGATTGTCCTCCCCACCCTCCAGGAGCGGGGAAAGGAAAGGGGGGAGTGAGAGAGCGACTGCGTGATTTACAGCTGAGCTTAAACCACGACAGCCCGCCTATGAACCATGCTCTCTGTATGGCTTGGACCGGGTAACCGCCAATGCATTGCCACAGTCCTCGCATGGCTCTGCCACTTTGCGTTCCACTCATCGCTGGCTACTGGAGAAGCCACCGTCTCCTAAAATAGAGACCCGTTCTTGTTCTGAGCCAAGCCAGGTCATCAAACTTTGCATTACTTTCCCCCTTGTCTGGCAGGTCCTTGCCTGCCCTGAGGTACCACAGGCTGACTCCCAGCCCTGCAGCGCTTCCTGAAGGACGGCTCTGCGAAAGACAGCCACAAAAAGGCTCTGGATCAAGGTCAGGAAACATGTGGCCCAAATTTGCTCTTAGAAAAGGTTAGTTGCATCTTCCTAGGGACACCCCTCTGCCAGAAGGACCGCTGTGTACGGACTGCTGTTCCTACCTCCCGTCGTGTGGTCAGAGGACGGACCCGTATCTTGCGTGGGTGTCGGACCCTTGTTCCTCATCCAGTCAATGCTGCTGTAATCTGCCTGGACCCACTCGCAGAAGTCGTTGTCGAATGTGCAATCAAAATTGCAGTCTGCTGTGGGAGCTGGGTATGGCGCAGAGAAGAAAGCAGAGATTCTAGGGTGAGGACAGGCCAGCTTTTCTCTGTGTCCCACAGGGCACACCTACCTCCCTGGCACGTTCAGGTCAGGTGAGGATGGCCAACTGAGTGGAAGTGCACAAGCTGGGTGCCTAGCACAGCCAGTAAAACACATGAATGGGACACAACAGTACCTGTGCTCGTCCCAGGCGCTGGTGATATTGTTGTATGTGGAGGCCGCGTTGAGGTGCCTGGCAACGGGGACGAGGTTGTAGGAGCTGCTGGATGTACAGTGAAAGAGAGGTGGAGATGACGGGTTTCATAATGGAGATTTGTTCCCAAGAGGGGATGTTGCGCCTTCCCAAACACACCCACATCATGGCAAAAGGAGCACAGCAGAGGAAATCCACAATATCCCAGTCACAAAGAGACTCTCCACCCAAGGGCTGGCCCACCAGCACTGTTAAGTGCCCCCTTAACAGGGCAAACCTCCACCACTGCTGCCCCATTCCCTGAATCTGGGCCACAACGGAAATCAACAGAACACTTACCACAGACAGTGCCAGCACTCCAGTCTCCCAGGGCAACGCCTGCCTCGGCACACGCTGCAGCATAGGCCTCCAAGTCATTGCAGAGCTGCTCAGTGCTGCCGCCCGTGGCACACTGGTCATAGACACAGCTCTCAAAGTACGTCTTGGGTGGTACAACTGCATGGCATGGCTGGAACGGGCCACCAAGTTGCGTGAGGATTGCACACTGCTTGTTAGCTGCCTCCTCCTCAGAGGGGGAGCAGGACGGGGGCGGGTTGATGGCTGGGTCGCACCTAGGAAGCAGAAAAGCAGCCCTGAGCTCACAACAGCCTGTGGACTCCAGCCACACCATTTCCAGACCTTGTCTCAGCCAAAACCTCAGCCTCTGGAGTCCACAGCCCTCGATAAGAGAAGGCACCAAGTGCTGTCTCTTGCGAGGGTGGGCAAAATGGTTCACAGTGGACTGGGAGGGCAGAGCCATGCACAGAGGTCACCAAGGACCACAGAGCTGAGCGCCTATGGGGAGAGAGCAGAGAGCACCATGCACCCTGACCGCATGGAGAGGCCTGGACAGTGCCACAAACAAGCCAGCCCTGAGAGGAAAGGGGAACGGCCACACGTCTGGCACCCATTTGCACACAAGACATCCCACTCTTGGGTGGAGCAGAGGTGAGATGCAAGGACGATGCGTCTGTTGCAGTGGAGCTTCTACGTGCCCTCACGCGCACTGTCACAACTGCCTCCTCCTCTCCCACACACCATGTGCCCATGCCTACCATTACCAACCCTCCCTGCTTCTGCCCCTCACAGCTCCCCTCTCCCATGCTCCCTTTTGTCCGTCAGCTATGCAGTGGAACAAGGACTCACGGCCATTCATCATCCGGCACCATCCAGCTGGCCCCAAAGTCATTGAAGTCAGGCACGACAACCCCATCAGGTCGCATGAAGTCATCTTGCTGGTTCCCAGTGTACGTCCCACACAGCCCACACAGCTTGCCCTTGTGCTTCTCAGACACCTTCACTAGGAGCTCATCATCCCCATTGAACAGCAGCTGCAGGCCCAGCTCGGTAGAAACCCACACGTAGGAGCCACTCAGGGAAATGTTTACACCGGGGGCAGGAGAAGCAGGCAGGGAGGCCAGAGCACCATTGATCTGAATAAGAGGGACAGAGCGAGACAGAAGCATAAACAGATGCCCTCCACTGAGAGTTCACTCTTTTCCACTCTGACAGTGCCAGGGCCCTGGGAGTCAGGAGGACGAATGGCATGAGAAACCCTGCCCAGGCCTATGAGAACAGCAGCGACTACAGACGCCACACTGAAAGCTAAGGAAAACAAGCCGAAAATCTCTTGCTGCACAAGCAGCCATTTCAGCACCACTCAGAGCCTCGCCATGCTCTTATGCGAGCGCACCAGCAGGCTCAGGGAACATCAAGCTCTTCTCGGGGACAGAGTGGTACTTTAGGGTGGCCAGGGCATCCGTTGTTCCCAGGTGTAAAAACGAGGGGCTTACGTAGACCGCCTTGTTCTCACGCAGGGCAATGTGGAGGCCTTCCATGGACAGTGCCACCGAGTTCAGAGCTGTCCAGCTCAGGCTGCCACGATGTTCGTTGCGGGTGGTGACACTGAACCCAGCGGAGGAGTTGTCACAGCCTGTCACCACTGTGTAGTTGCAAGAGCCCTGGAAGTGGTGAAGCTTCCCATCGAAGGTGCTGTAATGCGGGTCGCCGTAGATGTGGCAGAGAGCGGTGCTGGCTGGGTAGCAGCCCCTCTGGCCGTCCTGGATCTTGCAGACCTCATCCTCACCACAGGACAACGGAGAGCAAACCATCTGGCCCTTGGCTTCACAGCGGCACTGGCGATCACAGTCCTCGCTCACAGAGTACTCGCCTTCCTGCAGGCAGACAAACACCGAGCGTCAGTCTATCAGGCTGGAAAGCAGAGGCAAGGGAGTGCCCTGGGAGGGGTGCAAGCCAGGGCAGGGTTTTCACTCACGCTGTAGTAGTTGCCCTCAAAGAGGCAGCCACAGTGGGCCTCGGGCACACACGTGTCTCCGCTGAGAAGGAAGCCAGAGGTACATGCGCAGCCCTCCATGCAGGGCTTGGAGCAGTTCTGCGGGGCTTGTCGGTCAACACAGGTGGCAGGACAGCCAGTCATGCAAGGGTCATAGTAGCTGTTGTCGGGGCACAGCAGGGCTGCAATGGGAAGGGGACAATTGAGACCAGCAAGCCTTCAAGGAAGGAGGACCTTCTGAGAAGTGGCAAACAAACGACTTGCTGTGGCCAGAGGTTCTGGGAACAGGGAGCGGAACATTTCCCTCCCGGCAATTGCAAAGCAGGTACTCACGGCAGAAGGTCGCATTCCGCCAGGGAAGAAGAGTCACACCGGCTGCTTGGCAGGCGTCAGCGTAGGCCTCCAGAGCAGCACACAGCACCTCCTGGCCACCATTCAGGGCACACAGGTCATAGAAGCAGGTCTCAAAGTAGCTCTGCGGGTTGATCACAGCGTGGCACTTCTCAAAAGAGCCAGGACTGGCGGTCAGCATGCCACAGAACTGGTCCGATCCGTAGAGCTTCTCCTCTTCTGCACTGCAGGGTGGGGAGGGGTCGGGGACACCGCAAGGTGAGTCACTCTCTGGGACCTGCCAGCTCTCCCCCAGCTCATTGGAGTCTGCGGCTTGCTGCCCGTTGGGCATCATGTAATCGTCCTCCCTACGGTTGTTGAAGTTCCCACACATGCCACAGGTCAGGTTGAAGTAGGTGGTGGGCACCTTCACCTCCACCGAGTGGTCAGTGTCGTAGGACACTCTGAGGTCGAAGTCTGTCTCCAGGACAATGTAGCGGCCACTCCTGCTCACCGTGATGGCACCTCCCGCTGCACTCACCGGCAAGGTCTGGCGCACATTGTTCACCTAGGGCAGACACACGGCAATGGGCCTGGGCCCTGCACTTGTCCCTGGCATTCCTGGCTCTCCTGCCCCGAGGAAATCTGCTCCCAGCCCAGGCGCAGCAAACCGGAGCCCGCGATGCCCTCACAACCCAGTTGCCCCTCTGGCTTGCAGAGCCGTGGCTGTGCTCTGCTCCCTGCAGGGGCCGCTCTTCACCGTCGGCCACATTCCCCATTTGCCTCTTCCTCCTCAACCCCTCCAGAAAAGTAAAAGAAAGCAACCCAGTGGCTTCAGGGGAACCCGCCCACACCTGGCACAATGAAGGTGTCTGGTACACACCATGCCATGCCCTGCCAAGAAAAGCCAGCCCTGCCTTGCTGCCTTGCAGCTGTGCCATGCTCATGCCGGCCCCACTGCCTACCAGCACTTGGCTCTTCTCCTTCTTGACAATGGCAATGCGCTCTCCGTACACCTCAACCAGGACTTCGCGCACATAGGACACTCTGGTGTTCCCACGATGCTCGTTCTTGGCCTCAACGTTGAAGTAGGGCAGGGAGGTGGTGTTGGAGCACACTTTGGCCAGGGTGTAGGTGCAGTTGCCCATGAAGTTGTGCGTCACCTTGTCAAAGGTGTTGTAGTGAGGGTCACCGTGGACATGGCAGATGCCGTAGGATTGCTCGAGGCACTCAGGTCTCCCATCCTGCACCCCACAGAACTGGCCCGCAGGGCATGAGGCGTTAAAGCACTGGACTTTGCTTCCCCGCGCGGGACACGTGCACTTTGACGAGCAGGTGTTGTCTGTCCAGAACTCAGAGCCCACGGGGTAGTGCTGCCCGTTGTGCCAGCACCCACACTGCTGGCTGGCCACGCACTGGTCATTGTAGAGCAGGTACCCGCTGTCGCACACACAGCCCTCCACACACGGCAGGCTGCAGCTAGCAGGAGCCATGGGATCAACACAGGTGGCAGGGCAGGCTGCAGCACACGGCTCGTAGTGACTGTTGGCTGGACAGGTGACAGCTGCCGAGACAGAACATATGGCCATTAGATGATGTCTCTGTGCTGTATTCTCCCCTTTGGAAAATTAACCGTCTGCATTATTTTCTCTGTGATCTGCTTGGCTCCACGGGTATTCTAAATCATACCTGAGCAAACGAAGCAGAAAACGGTGCCCCTGATTCTGACAACTACCTGTAAATCCGCAAGGCACGTAACAAAAACATTTATTATTCCCCACCCCACTCTTTCATTCCAATTCTATGTTTTACTGAGAGTAACAGTCTGTGGTACCGTGTGTGGACTTACGGCAGAAGGTTGCGTTCCTCCACACAGGTATCTTGACACCAAGCGACTGGCAGGCATCCGCGTAGGACTGCAAGCTCTTGCACAGGGCTTCGTGGTCCAGCTCCAGCTCGCACAGGTCATAAGAGCAGGTGTCAAAGTAACTGCTGGGGCTCAGCACAGCGTGGCACATCTGGAACGGGCCGCCGGTGTCGGTGAGGAGCCCACAGAAGTGGCTGCTGGCTATGACTTGCTTGTCTGTCTCACTGCAGGCTGGGGTGGGGAGTGGTCCGGCTGAGCAGCTGTGGAAAGACAGGAAGCAGGGCCCCTGAGTCACCTGTGGGCTTCTCCTCGTGTCTCAACATACCCTTGCCCGACACGTCCCCAGACCTGCTGAGGGACAACACATACCTGCTGTCGTTGGACACCTGCCAGCTGTTGCCCAGGCTGGTGGAGTCTGGCTCCAGCACCCCTTCCGGGTTCAGGAAGTCATCTGATGCCATCCCGTTGAAGTTGCCACACATGCCACACACCTTCTGCCCAAAGGTGCTCGGAAGCGTCACCTCCACCCGATGGCTCCCATCAAACTTCACTTTCAAGCCAAAGTCTGTTGTGACCACAGTGTAGAACCCGCTGGACGAGACCTGCACACCTGCGGATGGGGTGCAAGGCAGGACCTCTGCCACTCCATTGACCTGGAAGGACAGAAAACAAGACAGGGTTGGAGCGACCCATTCGACACAGTCCTCTCCTCTCACACAGCACAGCGCCTCTCTTCCTTGTGCTTACCGTCACCGAACCACCCTTCCCCAGCCTTATCCGCTGGCCAGCCACATCGACATCCACATATTGGACGTAGGACACGCGAATGTTGTCTCCCCTGTGCTCGTTGGCTGCTTCCACGTTGAAGTAGGGCAGAGAACTGTTGCTCTCGCACAGCTTAGAGAGGGTGTAAGTGCAGGTGCCCATGAAGTGGTGCAGCTGATTGTCAAACGTGTGGTAGTGAGGGTCTCCTTCTACCACACAGGTCCCTGGCAGTGGAAAGACGAGAGTTCAGTTAAGCACCTCCTGTTGCCTCTTCTCCTAAGCCCACCTTCACCAAAGAACATCAGCCCCATGACTGGTATAGCGCTTTTACCAAGGGACCTGTTACCAGAAATCTGTGTTAAGAATGAAGTAGTTTTTCCAGTCATCTGGTTCAAATCTCCTCAAATAACTAAATGCCAGAAGCACAGGTGCCCCACCCAAGCGCCCGAAAAGGAATATCACTCACTGTGTGTCTCAATATGGCAGGGAAGTGATAGAAAGCAAACACGAACCATCCAATGAAAATGCAAATTGCATCCACTATGGGTTTCCAAGATGACTCAAAACACTAACAATAATAGCAGTAGCTGAAGTCGTACCAGGTGGTGGTGGTGGTGGTTGTGTTCCTTGTGTTGTCTGTGTTGTGGTGCCTGGCAATGGGGTCGATGTTGTAGAAGGAAGAGGACCTGTGGTGAGACAGAGGTAGACCTAGTGAGTGTCAATAATGCGGTTATCTTGCAAGCACCTGGCCTGCCCTTCCCAAACACCTTCCATCTGTCCCCTTTGTTTCCAGCCTCTTTCCATTCCAGTGTTGATGTTTCATTGTTAACTACATACACCCGCAGAGCCATTGCTTCAGCCTCTCCGTACATGTGATACCAGAAGCGGAAGCAGTGTGGTCCTTCTGAACTGCACACTGGACTGACCAATTGTGCTACCTCACCCGGTTCTTGTTTACTTCCTTGCAGGTAGATATAGTAGCCCTCTGGAAACAGCAGAGTGTCAATTTTTTACATTAATGGGCTAACACAAGATAAATTGACTTCATTTACACATTGTGTACAGTATAACTTTTCTTCACCCGGCTTCTGCACTAATCTCTCAGTCCTCAAATGGATTTCCACCAGATTACACTGGTCTCCTACTCAGGCAAAGGAAAGCCTTCTAAAGGAAGACCAAGTGCCACAGTGATCCAGTGTCAGCCTGGGTACACCTTTGCTGAAGCTTCTTTACAGGAAGTGATGCTAACAGGTCACATGCTCAATGTCCTGCAATGTTCATCCACCCCACAACAGATCCTTACTGCTGCAGAAGGTTCTGGATTGAGCCTAAGAAACACGTGGCCTGGATTTGCCATTAAAAGAGGCTCCTTGCCCCCTTTCAAGAGAAACACATCCACATACTGTCTGCTGTTCCTACCTCCAGTTGTGTGGTCATGGGAAGGGCCAGTATTTGGTGTGGGTGTTGGCCCCTTGTGCCTTGTCCAGTCAAAGTTGTCACTGGTAGCCTGTTCCCACTCACAGAAGTCGACATCAAATGTGCAGGACATATTGCAGGCTGTTGGTGCAGCTAGAAAAACAGAGTTTTCACAATAAGGTTTGGAATCTTCTCTCTGTTCTGACATTGCCCTTCTAGGTCTTCTGCACCCATGTTCATGAAAAATTTGAAGACATCGTAATGGAATGAGAAGAAGTGACCGATATTGACAAATTTGCTATAAAATATGAAATTTTAAGTGACTGAGATTGTGTGTTATTTTATGAGTCACTTCCTCAGTTATCATCATAATACACTAATATCCTACATTTTTACACTGTGCCACAGTCATAATTCTTGGTCACTGCAAATTGCTCAAAGCTGTCTTATTTGACATAGTAGTATTCATCTGGCTCTCAAAGTCCTGCTTAGGCAGAAATCTAGACATCGTAACGAGAATGTTTCTACTACTGATGAACTCGGGTGAGAAATACTGTCTCAGAATTGGAAAAAGGTTATGTAATGCATTTTAATGTCATAGCCTCATACTTATGCTGCTATTTCTGCTGGCTTTGGTAATCACCTTTGGCAGTTCTAGAAGAAGAAATTTAAGGGTATATGGAAAATTTTTTTTTACAATGAGGGTGGTGCAACACTGGAACAGGTAGCCCAGAGAAACGGTAGATGTCCTATCCTTGGAAAGGATTCAAGGTTACAGGGCTCTGAACAACCTGATCTAGTTTGAGATGGCCCTTCTCCTTGCAGCGGTTTGGACTAAATGACCTTTACAGGTCCCTCCCAACCCAAATTATTCTATTATTCTATTAATTTCTTGTCTCTAGCCTTAATTCTATGTTAACTAGTCTATCTAGGTAAGGGCCTAATAGTGTTACAACTGGAAGGCTGAATGGACCGCAAGGTACACAATTTCCCTTTATTCATTTTAAAGCCCTGGTTTATATATTTCTGAATTCATCTTACATGCTTCCTGAAACCTAGGTCTGTAGACAGGTTATGTAAGTCACATAATTAACACTTCTCAAAAAAGATAAACTATTTTATTAAAGCCAAAGAAGTGATTTGTCAGACAGTGCTCAATTGTCCCTGACTGAGATGTTGATTTACAATGTATGTTGTATTTCATGACTCAATTCTGAAAACAGTCTTAGGTTAAAAGTGCTCAAACATCACCTTCTAAAGTGAATAATGCAAGACCATTAGAAGCTTAGATTATAAACCAAATTTCAGGACATGCTAAGCACTTGAAAGCTTCCTGTATTTCTTTTAATCTCCTTTTCTGAAATTCTGCTCAACCTCTCAGTCATTCAAATATATATTTGTAGCATGAAGATTTAATTGGATGGCTGTTTGCTAAATGACCTAATGACTTACCACAGATGGTATCTTTCTTCCATTCACCCAGATTTACACCTCTAAGTTCACAAGCAGCAGCATATGCCTCTAAAATCTGGCAAAACTGATCAGAATTCCCCTCTGTAGCACACATGTCATAGACACAGCTCTCAAAGTACAGCTGTGGGGGAATGTACCAATGGCAGACCTGAAAAGGCCCACTATTTTTCAAAATAGTTTTGCAGAGTTCTTCATATTCTTTCTCTTTTGCTGTGTCACAAGTAGGCGGTACAACTGCAACTGGACTACACCTGCATCAAAAATAAGCAGCAGTTTGGTTATATAATACATCTTTATATTTTGTTCTATCCTGCAAAGCATACCTCAACAGTAACAGAAGCCTAGGCCAAATTTTGTAGATTTGCTGTGTATAGTCATCTTTAGTGTGTCAAACCCCAAAGTGAGAAATATCACAATTCAACTTGCATTTACCCATTAAGAGTATAAATGTGAATTGTTGATGTATGACTGTCTATCCATAGAATGAAATCGAGAAGGAACCAACAAATCAGCTATCTAAACCAAGCAAGATAATTTCAATTCACTATTGCATATAATAAGAGCAGTAATTTGTAGGTGAAAGCATTAATAGACAGATAAATATCCGATGGCTATGTTAATAAATGTGGAGCTATCTTAGGAGCTGAATCTGAGAGATATATTTAGACTTCTTATAGTAAGATAATATAAAGAAGATATTTTAGAATGGAGAAATAAGAAAAAAAAAAACAAGTTATATGAAAAAAAAGAGTCCAGTTTCAAATATAATCTACAAAGTTCACATGGAAAACCTCTCAAGGGTGGTTTTAAAGTTTCAATTCTTTTCTACCAAAAAGTGGAGTTATTAAAAAGTAAAAACACTAGCAAACAAGTAACATCAAAGAGGGGCTACTATGGAATGTAAGTCATGTATGTTAATCCTATAACTAGATGAGTTTATGTTTCAGGCATTTTGCTGTTTCCTAAAATATCAGATACTTACGTCCTGTTGTCATCCTTCACTAACCAGCTGTCACCAAATTTATTTGGATCCTGTTCTATGACTTTATCTGGTCTTAGAAAATCATCCAGTTGGTTGTCATTGAATGTCCCACACAGACCACACAGCTGTCCTTTGAGGCTTTCGTCAGCCAGAATGAAAAGCTCCTGGTCACCATCAAACTTAACCTGTATCCCTACAGAGGTATCAATGACCACATAATGTCCTTTTATAGCTACTCTGGCTCCATGATTCAAATCCACAGGAAGATAAACCCGAACTCCATTCACCTAAAGAAAACAAAACCCACACAACCAGGTAAGTCAATAAAGCTCCTAGTAACAAAGGGGAGGTCTATACTGCCAGAACTATATCTTTCTTCACCAAGTCAGCCTTATGCTAATGAACAATGTAGACACAGAAGTTTGAAGCTTAACAGAGGATTACGGGGTGTATACTTATCCCACATCTTGAACAGTGCTATTTAGCACAAGTTGAACTCCGTGCTGTCACAACTACACACATAGCAATACTTGGAATACCTAGTTTAAAGTTCTGGTAAGTATGATCCTGACAGTGTATAGCAAAAATACTATTTATATTTTAAAGACGAGATCTACAAAATTCAGACTGAGATTTAGTTCAGCAAAAGCTTTCTGTTTTAGATGAGGCTATGGATGAAGTTGATACTTTCCCACAACCTTAAAAAAGATTTGAATTGACAGAAGGAAGCTACGCTGATTCCTGCCTTTCTGGGGAAGAAAAAAAAATCCAAACAACCCCCACTCCCCCTCCAAAACAAAACCCAACCCATTTCTGTGACTTTTAGCATGTGCAGTCTTGGAGCTGAATAAAGCAGAGAAGCCTGATTCATTTCTTTTAGACAGAAATGTAAAGTGAATAGATGTGATGGATTGTTTATGCTTAAAGTAGAACACTTACATAGGTTTCTTTATTTTTCTGCAAAACAATATGAAGATTTTTCAGTGTGACAGCAACTGAGTTCAAGGCAGTCCAGTTCGGGTTTCCTCTATGTTCATTTCTGGTTGTCACTGAAAACCTTTCAGAAGAATTTGTGCATGTCTCAATGACAGTATAATTGCAGTCTCCTTGGAAATGATAGAGTCTCCCATCAAAGGTTATATAATGTGGATCCCCAAATATGTGGCAGGTGCTGGGATTCAATGGATAACATCCCAGGAGTCCATTCTGCACCTTGCAAACTTCGTTTACTTCACAAGCGTCTGAATTGCAAACTACAGTGCCATTTCCAGCGCATATACATTGGCCTGCACAGTCTGTTTGCCAAAAGGCTTCTCCTTTCTGTTAGAGGCAACAAAACAAAAATAAATTAAAAGAGTTAATGGTAAAGTTGATCTGTGAAATAAGCCCCTGAACTATGTGCCAGAACAAACCTCATAATATCTGCCATTCTGAAGGCATCCACAGTTGCTCATGGATACACACTCTCCACCACTGATGACAAAACCATTGCTGCATTCACATCCTTCTAGACAAGGTCGGCTGCAGTTCTTTGATGCAAGAGGGTCAATGCAGGTTGCTGGACAAGCACTGGTGCATGGATTGTAATGACTATTGGGAGGGCATGCAACAGCTGAAAAACAGTAACAAGCATTGAATTGACAATCACAACTCACATAAACCATGACTCAAGACTGATTATTTTGAGCAAGTGACAATGCTGGATTTTTTGAAGCTGAAATTCCTTTCCTGTTATTATAGCAGAAAGCAAAAAAAAGAAAAAAACATTCTACAAGAAATAAGCTTGAATGCTTAACACATATATACTAGATGCTAAGCATCTCCAAATCCAAGTAAAAACTATGCCTCTCTAAGCTAGCTACTTTTATCTGGTACATTTCTAGAAGCACAGAGATTGTTAAAGTCATTGGACAAAGTCTGGAAATGAACCAACATATTAAAGGCAAAACATCTTCTAAAACTCAGATGGGATTTCGTATTATCAGGACCTACTGTTACTGCTTTAAGATAGATTCTTCAGATAATGAACAAAATTAACTTCTGTCTGGCAGAAAACAATAATGAGGTGACATTTACAAAATTTTATTTCTAAATATTTTGAATGTTATGTGAAGAACATAAGATCTCTTAGCTTTGTCAGGTAATGGCTACAATCAACCTGTTCAGACAACAAAGGAATTATCCAAAGATTCAGATCTCTACAGAAACTCACGGCAGAAGGTCGCATTCCGCCAGGGAAGAAGAGTCACACCGGCTGCTTGGCAGGCGTCAGCGTAGGCCTCCAGAGCAGCACACAGCACCTCCTGGCCACCATTCAGGGCACACAGGTCATAGAAGCAGGTCTCAAAGTAGCTCTGCGGGTTGATCACAGCGTGGCACTTCTCAAAAGAGCCAGGACTGGCGGTCAGCATGCCACAGAACTGGTCCGATCCGTAGAGCTTCTCCTCTTCTGCACTGCAGGGTGGGGAGGGGTCGGGGACACCGCAAGGTGAGTCACTCTCTGGGACCTGCCAGCTCTCCCCCAGCTCATTGGAGTCTGCGGCTTGCTGCCCGTTGGGCATCATGTAATCGTCCTCCCTACGGTTGTTGAAGTTCCCACACATGCCACAGGTCAGGTTGAAGTAGGTGGTGGGCACCTTCACCTCCACCGAGTGGTCAGTGTCGTAGGACACTCTGAGGTCGAAGTCTGTCTCCAGGACAATGTAGCGGCCACTCCTGCTCACCGTGATGGCACCTCCCGCTGCACTCACCGGCAAGGTCTGGCGCACATTGTTCACCTAGGGCAGACACACGGCAATGGGCCTGGGCCCTGCACTTGTCCCTGGCATTCCTGGCTCTCCTGCCCCGAGGAAATCTGCTCCCAGCCCAGGCGCAGCAAACCGGAGCCCGCGATGCCCTCACAACCCAGTTGCCCCTCTGGCTTGCAGAGCCGTGGCTGTGCTCTGCTCCCTGCAGGGGCCGCTCTTCACCGTCGGCCACATTCCCCATTTGCCTCTTCCTCCTCAACCCCTCCAGAAAAGTAAAAGAAAGCAACCCAGTGGCTTCAGGGGAACCCGCCCACACCTGGCACAATGAAGGTGTCTGGTACACACCATGCCATGCCCTGCCAAGAAAAGCCAGCCCTGCCTTGCTGCCTTGCAGCTGTGCCATGCTCATGCCGGCCCCACTACCTACCAGCACTTGGCTCTTCTCCTTCTTGACAATGGCAATGCGCTCTCCGTACACCTCAACCAGGACTTCGCGCACATAGGACACTCTGGTGTTCCCACGATGCTCGTTCTTGGCCTCAACGTTGAAGTAGGGCAGGGAGGTGGTGTTGGAGCACACTTTGGCCAGGGTGTAGGTGCAGTTGCCCATGAAGTTGTGCGTCACCTTGTCAAAGGTGTTGTAGTGAGGGTCACCATGGACATGGCAGACGCCGTAGGATTGCTCGAGGCACTCAGGTCTCCCATCCTGCACCCCACAGAACTGGCCCGCAGGGCATGAGGCGTTAAAGCACTGGACTTTGCTTCCCCGCGCGGGACACGTGCACTTTGACGAGCAGGTGTTGTCTGTCCAGAACTCAGAGCCCACGGGGTAGTGCTGCCCGTTGTGCCAGCACCCACACTGCTGGCTGGCCACGCACTGGTCATTGTAGAGCAGGTACCCGCTGTCGCACACACAGCCCTCCAGGCACGGCAGGTTGCAGCTGTATGGTGCTATTGGGTCCACACAGGTGGCAGGGCAGGCTGCAGCACATGGCTCGTAGTGACTGTTGACTGGACAGGCTAATGCTGTGTAATAAAAGAAAAACCTTTCTATTAATCTATTTTAAGTACTGAAGGACTGTTTTTTTTTTTATTATCATGCATATTTGAATACGTATCCCATTTGAAATATTTGGGTGTATCTTGGAGTTCTGAGGCAGTTTGATGCATGCCTTTGCTGTCTTACCACCCTTCTTTTTAGGTTTGGGTTATTGAAAGTTTCACTCATGGAGGGAATTTCCTAGGAGACCTCTTGCTGCTGAAGTTGATTGGTTTGAATTCTTGCATTGGGCTAAGGATATCCATGTCATGTTAGTTATTTGTCCTAGTCATAGAATCATAAAATCATAGAATCATAGAATAGTTAGGGTTGGAAAGGACCTTAAGATCATCTAGTTCCATCCCCTCTGCTATGGGCAGAAACACCTTGCACTAAACCATGTCATCCAAGATTCCATCCAGCCTGGCCTTGAACATTGTCAAGGATGTGCCATATTTAGGTAATATTCCTGATATTTAATTCTAATTATCTTATAGCTTCTTAATTAATATTCTTTTACTTCACCAAAGTCTTCATTATTTGTTAAATAATCAGGATGTAGAAGTCCTCTATTCTATTTTTACATATCATTACATGCACGACATGTAGATACCCAAGTTATTTAGAGTTTTTAAATACTGAGATTTTCAGGTGAGAAGATGTCAGAACTGAAGTTTCCTGAACAATCTTTTCAGGTTCCATGTGTTTACGTGATGCCATTCAGTTTATAATCACAGATTTTCTCACTCTGTTTTTAGTCTGCTTTCCTAAGAAGACAGAGATTACAGAATTTTATTGTACATTTCTCCGCTCATCCTCCCACGTACTAAATTTGACCCAGGTGATTTATTGGAAACAAGCTGGTGACATTGGTAGAGGACAAAAACATATCCAGGTCCATTAATTGAAATAGGCATAAGGGTAAGAGGAGAGATCCTACAAGATACTTCAGCAGAAAGAACAGCTACAGAGAGGGCTCACTCCTGTTCAGAAACCATAGAATATATGTGAGAGAAAACTTCCGTAATGCCCCCAGCAGAGAAAATGCTCCACCTACAGACTGCAGTCAAATGTGAAACAAAAGCCAGAAAGAAATCAGGACTTAGTCATTCAAGTGTTTACAGTCAAGTCTCCAGTCTCCTCATCTCCTTCAGTGCAAAAGGCACATAGAGCACTGGATCACCATTTGCATTGTTTCTGGTGGAAGCAGATCTGTCCAGGACTTTCAGGCAATATTTAAATTCTATTCCAAAGACAAAATGCTTTGTTTATTTGTTGTCTGGGGGGTTTTCTCCTTTTTTTTCTATAATAGGTGCCTGAAAGCTTGAGAAATGTTTTTGATGTAATGTTTACAAACATTCACAGAAGAAAGGTCATTATTCCTATTTAATCTCCAGCTTAGACTTCTATTACTTCAGTACTTGACATCTTTTGTCAAGTATTTTGTTTCTGTCTCCTCTACATCCTCAACTACATTCTCCACTTCCATTATTGTGGTTAACAATCTCCATTGCACAGGCTTCTTGCTTCAGTACTGGCCTTTAATTCCAGGCTGCCTACCTGTGTTGCTTCCTCTCCCATCTGAAACCATGAATCACTATGCCTGTACAGAACACACTGATGCCATCCACAGGGATGAATGGCCAGCAACCCCTTCTCTCTTATACATATGGGAGTTTGTGCCACTGATAGTGTTTCCAATACTGTCCTTCTCCCTTCATCCCAGTTCTCCTGCTAAGTTCGTCAGATGTGCTCCTCCTTCATCCTGCTCTATTTGCACTGATACAAACTATGAGATTAAGATAGTCTCTCTGTCTGATCTCAGAGTTATTCCTCCCATCAACTCTGATTTTATTATTCTTGCAAGACCAACAAGCTCTGACTCCTGGACCAGCTATCTAGTCTGTGCTTCCGGGTCCTTGGCTCTCTGCCTAGCCAGTTTCAACCTATTCTTCCTCTCTTCTCTAGACTTCTAAGCAAATTCTCATTTTCTTTTCTAGCTCCTACTTGCTTCCACTAAATCCAGGGTCTTTCTCTTAGCCTATTCATTAGTCCTCTCCAGCTCCTAGTTAGAGCTCCTTTCTCACTGTCCCAGACTGCCTGGATTCCTTATCCCCATCTACGGCTCTACCTCATATCTGCTCAGGCTCATATAATTTCTATGTTCATGTAAGTTACCCACCTTGATGTGTTTTTGCTGCGGTTGCTGCAAGAGGAGAAGACACAGCTTCCCTTCTGTTAACTGGGTGTCTGATCACTCTGAAGTAGAGAGGCTGGGAGTACAGGAGAAGGCAGCTCCGACTCTCAGCAGGAAGGGTGCATAAAACTCTTAGACATCTACTAAGCATGTGCAGAGACTTTTTTTTTTTTTTTTCTCTCAAAGACATTTAAGTTTAGGCATAGCTTCTTCAGAAGGTAAAAATCCCTCTAAGTCATATGTCCCTGACATACTTAATACCCCTGAACAAATATTAGAGACACTAGAGGATTTCAAAGCAAAAGCCTCCAATTCTATTTTAAGATGGACTAGACAGTATTTTCTCCTTTCGTCCGAAGCAGCTTAACTATTTTCACTAGACCTTTCCTGAGAGAATCAAACTGAGGACTGTATGCAACCCTGAAATCTTTAGCATGAACAGCCAAGATTCACAATGGCATATGAATTCAAAACAATGTTTTGTACTGTTCTGTACAAGAAATACAGAAGTTATTCAGGAAGTCCTAATTACAGCCTCCTGACAAGTGGTGATTTCCAGTAAATTTTGATACATACGGCAGAAGGTTGCATTTCTCCACGGTGTCAGCTGGACTCCTGCAGATTGGCACATGTCTGCATAAGCCTGCAGGTTTTGGCAGAGGGCTGCATTGTTCAAATGAAGTTCACAGAGATCATACTGGCAGGCTTTAGAATAACTCTGTGGATCAATTACTGAGTGGCAATTCTGGAATGGACCACTGGGATCTGTGATCAGACCACAATATTCATTGCTTTGGATGACATGTTCTTCATCAGCAGTGCAACTTGGAGTATGACCATCATCTGGCAAGCACCTTATGTGGAAAGAAAAAAAAAAAAAAAGCATGTAGAAAAATTCACCAATGAAATTGGGATGGACTAGCGCCTAAGATGGTTTTCAACTCAGATCTAACAAAACTACAGGGTTGACCCAGGATAGGCATGGCGTATTTTAAAGCTCTACATTTCAAACACTTGGGATAGATATTCAGATTTTAATATGATTTCAACCTTATAACCTTTGAGAGGCCTAGAAGAAATCCAAATATTTATTTTGGCTTTCTTTTAAGTCAAGCTTTCTACATGGAAAATACCTAGAGGAAGGGCAAAAAAAAAGTCAAAGCATTCAAAGTTAAACCTCTACTATCATTAAATAATATACTGTGAAATTATAAAATAAATAGTGAAGTATCTTCAGAAGAGTTCAAATAGATCTTCAAGTATTAGCATTAATATACTATAACAATACAGAAATCTTAGTGGTATCTGCAGTGTTTTATTCACACTTTCTCTTTTTAGGCACAGTTACATTTGTTATGAAACTTTACCCAGACAGATAAAAGTAAGCACACTAACAAGAATATATTTTGTCCCATGTGCCTGACATTTTTGGTACACGTACAACATTTGCTGAAAATACTTATCATTGCATAACCAACAGCTAAGGCCCAGCATGGCATTTGTAGTCTTACCTGGAATCATTGTAAACTTGCCAACTGTTGCCAAGGCTGGCTGAGTTTGTTTCCATCTCTCCATCTGGGTTAAGGAAGTCATCTGCCTTGTGCCCATTATAATTTCCACATATTCCACAAACTTTAGACATATAGGTACTGGGAATAGTGATTTGTGCTCTGTGATTTCCATCAAACCTGACATTCAGCCCAAAGTCAGTAGTAACCACCACATACTGCCCACTGAGGGAAATACTGACACCCTGCACCAAGGTCAGAGGGAGCACCTGGCTGACTGCATTAACCTGCAGGCACAGAGAAGGATAGTCATTATAATAACGTCAAAAGAAGTATTTTTAATCATGACCCTCTTAGATCACACCCCTTTCCTGAGCATAGGACTTACACAGTGAGCAGTAAGAATTCATATTGGGTTAAGTATTATTTACCATGAATGTAGTATATGTGGGCATAGTCTAAGACCTGGAGGCCGTAATAACATAGCTACATAGTTTCCAAGTGCAGTCAAAGTGAGCTTGGTGAACCAGACCCAACTGGCAGAAATCCAAGACTTGGCATGATCTCTCAGCAGTAGTCTTTTATTTTAGATAAGATTAAAAAAGATGTAGCTACAATCAATTCTCATAAAATTTTCAGGATAGGTCAAATCTTGAGAAAGCTTCTTTTTGTTTTGTTTGGGGTGTTTTTTTTTCTCTTTCAAATGTCATGTTTGAAACACCAGACGATAAAAAGTAAGCACCCAAACAAAAAAACTTCAAATCCTTTAAAATTTACTAAAATTAGTATCTACTTTGAATATTTGTTCTTATTACATATGTAAGAAAGTCTGGTTTACTTAGAAACATATATATAAAAAAATAAACACATACATAATAAAAAATGTAAATAGAAGGGAAAGCTATAAAAGCTATAAAAGTTCTAAAAGCTATACAAGTTACAAAAGCTATACAAATTATAAAAGCTATACAAGTTATAAAAGATATACAAGTTATAAAAGCTATACAAGTTATGAAAGCTATAAAAGCTATAAAAGAGAAGCCATAGACAAATGTGGATATATGAGTTTACTATGTTTCTAAGATCAAATATGAAAGGTCTCAATGTACATTTTAAACCTTGTCTCCTATTACTTAAATCACTATACTATTTTCTTAAAAGAAGGTTGGTAGCAAAGTAAGGTGACCTACTCATTTATTTGGGGTTTGAATCAAACATGTCTATTGTCCCTTTATGGAAAGGTGCCATAAAGAAGCCTTAAAATACAATAACTGGCAAAGTGACACAATGGGTGAGTGTGAGGAGAGTCATCAGATTGTCACTCTAGGACTCTCATCTGGTCATGCTTATAGCAAGTGCCAGGTGTCAAGGGAAGTTAGCAGTGATGTCTAATAACTAGAAATCAGGGATAAGCATGAAGTTTTACAGGATACCACTCAGAATCAGGAAATAACTACCAGCGTAGACTGGGTTAATGCAGGGCCTTTTTATTCCCTGATTCAGACCCAGCTTGAGCATGCAGGGCAAGCTAGAAAGATAGGCTAGCCCACCAACACCTTCTGGGGTGTCAGTTCTAATCCCAACTTGTAGCTACAAAGCACAAAACTGTAGCCTATGATTTCAGATCTGAAATTCCAATCTTAAGAACTCCACACTACTCCTACTCCTAAATATCTGATTGCCTTCTAAGTATTACTGCGTGTGTGATAAAATTTGTAGTCATTCTTCTTTCAGGCTATGAACTACTAATGATAGATAGTGGGCTCTAACCTTACCTTAACAACTCTGTTTTTACCCAGATTAATCCTGTAGCCATACACATCAACATCCACGTATTGGATGTAAGACACGCGAGTGTTGCCTCCCCTGTGCTCATTGGCTGCTTCTATGTTGAAATAGGGCAGCGAACTGTTGCTCTCGCACAGCTTGGAGAGGGTGTAAGTGCAGGTGCCCATAAAGTCATGAAGCTGCTTGTCAAATGTGTCATAGTGAGGATCCCCATGTATACTGCAAATTGCTTCTGGAGACAGGAAAAAGGAGTATGTTCTCATTAACACATGGATACATCCAGAAAAGCCACCTTGCTGTGCAGTAGGAAAGCACAATCATCCCCATTTTATAGATTACATATGGAAAAACTGAAACAGAAAAGGCAGATTTATATGGCCATAACAGATATACCCAAAGAAATCAACAGAAGCAAATAAGTAGCACAGAGAGTAAAAGCTTTAGGTGTCCTTCTACAACCCATTGGCTAGCATATGATTGTCTAAAATTACCTGTCACTGAAGATGGTGTAGATTCTGTTGGTGCAGTTGTTGGTGGTACAGGGGTAGCGACAGCTTCTGTTAATAGAAAAGAAATACAGTGAGTTGTGACATTATAGGGCGAACACTACTTACACACCAACATACATTAATTTCTTCTTATTCTTCACCAGCACAAAGTTAGAAGTGGGACTGCCTATATTTAAAAATGAGGATACATAGGTCTTTTGAGTGCTTAGAAAAGCTTGTCTGATTCTCAGGTTGGTCTGCAAGTCAGCAGCCTGTCAACAGATGCTGTATAGCAAAAAAAAAAATAATTCTCAGGGCACTGGCAGTTTCTAATCCGAGAGTTCTGTTGTTCCTTTAAAATTATATTTATGTCTTGGGAATGTGACAGCTGTAAGAGCTTTCTACTGACAGACACAACAAACAGTCATGCTGCAGAGTCTTCCCTCCCAACTGCTTCTGCTTGCTAATAAGCATTTGCATCTCCTCAACCTATATTTACCCATCAGAAAGATGTCTTCTAAAATAAGTGATCCTTTTGGTGTACTTGTATGTGTGGTCTAGAAACATCAGGGTGAGTATTCCCATGTCATGTTCATTAACCTGGTGACATGCCAATGAGTGTTGGATCTGAATCTCTGGAAGTACAACAGACTAACCTCAGAGCATGCATGCATTCACTCCTGCCCCTTTGCAAAACAAAGAATGCTCTCCTCATTCAGGTACTCTTCTACTGCATCCTAATGAGCCCTCCACTGTGCACTGAGGGTGTGATAACAGTCATTGCACAAGGAGATGACCAAGTGATGAATTGATTCATGGAAGGTAATGCTTTCGAACCTACTTATAGATGCACTATAGGTGTATAACCATTCAAATGAATCCACAAGTAAGGCAGTTGTTCTTCCGTATCACTGACATTGCTAATGACAGTATTTATAGGAATTAAACTGTAATACAGAAAAGAAGTTATACAAGAACAAGTTAGAGATTTTTGAATAACGATTCAGTAACTACATACCATGACCATACTGCTTTTGTGCTAACTATGCAATTCAAACTGAGCTGGATGTGGGGGTTTTGCAAAATACTTACTATTTATAATATAGAAGAAACCAATAGACTTCACGTAACTTGAAGTCTAGTGTATACTGAAAAAACTCATCACAAACTTGCCTTGGAAGCTATTTCTTCATGTGACAAATAGACATACATTTAGTATTTTATAAGTTGATTAAAATACCTATTCAACCAAACATTCTTGTAGAAACAAAAATGTTGGGAGGACTTTGACTTTTCTGGACCTAATAACTCAACTTTCATCACACTAGTAGCTATATAGTATAACAGAGGGAGAAGCACTTTTGGAGTTATGTTAGTGCACCATCCAGTGGCTGAATCGTACACCTGGAAATACACCTGGTGCAAATACACCTGGAAAAATGAAGGACTGGCTCTCACTAGCCCTCAAAAAGAAAAGACCCAAAGTATTTTTCACAGAATTTAAAAGAAAATTTTGTGTTCAAAGAGCATGGACCTGAATAGAAGTCCTTGTCTTGGCTAGCATAAATTTGAAACATTTTATTGTCATTATATGAGTAGTATTTCACAAAGACTGAGGTCTAATAAGACCTAACAACACCTTCTATGTGGTTTCAGCAAGTTTATTGTTCAATTCACATTCTGTAAGTATTGCATGCTTGTCAGTAAAGATGGGATAAAAATGTATTTCACTTCCAGATTCTAGTCATCCACAGCTTGTGCCAGTCTTAGCTGATTTGTTACAGGGTCAAGGCTCAAATTCACGTTGTTGGTTTATAGCCAGATGTGGTGGTGCAACTCAGCTTTAATAACTCACCATTACTTCTTTTTATTGCAGCACTTTGTATTTGCTGAGCTTGTATGAACTGAGATTTGCTGCAATATGCCAATTAGAGCACTTTAATCTGGAACCCAAGACCAGTATGTATACCTTTGGGTGGGTTTAGAGTTGCACTTCAGATTTAAGGTAAAGTTTGCTGGACCTTGTGAAAACAGTTATGTTTTCAGAGAATGGGATAGATTATTCTCAACATTTGAGGTGGTGTGGAAAGATTTAGGAAGAACCACAGCAAAAGAGAGAGCATTGAAGTGAAGTGAGCTGTAAAGTTTTTGCCTTCTCTCTTTTGTGGTTCAAGGTCATGAGGAGTTTCTACATGGAACTGAATAATGATCAACAGCTTGAACAGAGATGAAGAAGTATACTCTAAGGTGCAAAAACAGACTTACCACAGGATCCATCCCTTACTCTCACATTGTCCAGTGCCGTATCCCCATACTCTGTCAGTCCTCGGACAGCCTCAAAAATTACCTAGACAGGAAGAAAAGTGAATCACTGCATTTCTTTAGGCAAATGGCAGACCATTTCCCTTAGCATGTTTTCAAATATTCTTTCTGGTCTATCTCTAAAGGCGCTAAGTAAAACTGAGGCTACAACAATTTTCCTAGCTTCCCTCAGAAGCCTAGAATATATATTCTGTAATAAGGTAAGGACTTCAGGAAACATTGCCCTATCTTCTGCTGACTGATAAATCAGTTGTCTGGATTCTATAGAGAAGTCCAATATAAGCAGCATCTCACAATTCAAACCCTAACCCAGAGCAGACAAAGCTGAATTTAATTAAGGCACCTAAAGCCATTGACTTCCTTTGTGAAGAAGAGAAGGAAGGAAAAAGAGGAAAACTAAATATATTTTTATCCCCTAACAGCACCAGTAAAATTCAGGGGGTTGTTTGTTTCTTCTCATAGTTCATCAGCATAGTGCATGAGGTCATTATATTTACAAAATATAGACTGAGCAAATCTTGAGATTATATTTTTCTGCTTTACATGTTCAACTTTTTACAGCCTGCAAAGGGAGAATAAATGCTGATACTGCACAAATAAATTTATTCTGAAGATGTATTACCTTTATCTTTCTCTCTGTTAGAAAACTATGAGTGATGGCACCATAGTTCCACAAGGAATTCTGGCTTCCTTTCCGACTCCACACTGCAGACTCGCCCATGCTGTCTTGGATAAGCACTCTCAGCTCATTCATTTCTTCTGACCCAAACATATAGTACCAGAAATCTATGCATATTTTTTCAGACACTATAATATGTGGGCTCTCAAGTCTGTTAGTGTCAAATGGGATCAGATTACTTGCTTCTTGGTAGATGAAATAGCCTTCTGCATATTAAAAAAGAAAACAAACAAAAAAAAACAAAACCAAAACCAGATATGGTTGAAACTTTGTAGATTGTCAGATGTCATTTAAAACTGAAGTACAACCCAACTCTGAAAGAAATAAAGGGCATCTTTAGTAATGCAAAGTTGAGAGCGCTTGGAATTTACATTGCAATGGTTAGCACCATGTAGTTAGCCAAATCAGAATGTGAGCTGCAGAGCAAAGCAAATATATCCCATCTCACATGAACCATTATTTTGGGATCACAAATAAAGATGTAGGCCTCTTTCACAAGACAGCGCCTCCAGATACAGTGCCTTACTGGTCCATGTTCAGTTTCCTCTTTCCTCTAAGGAAAATAATACAATCTGCTATACACCTTCTCCTGTGGGATGTATTTTTTTCTAAAGATTTTGGTCTCGAGAGCAAAGCCCAAGCACAGGGAAGATTCCAACCTGTCAGCATTTCTTTTTATCTCGAAATGGAAGGGATAGTAATTAATGCAGATATTTCCATCAACATATTTAGGTTTTACATTATGAAAAGGAAGCAAACTTTCAAAAATCAGAAACTCACAGTATTTCTTTTAGGATTTGAAATACTTTAGTCTGAATTGCTTCAATATGAGATCATGTTTTGCTTTACTAGGCCTGAAATTTTTGCTTCCCTTGGGCTAAGATCAAAGCTACATTCCCCAGCATGGCTGAAATCAACTCTCCCATCTGACTATGGAAAGGAATCAGAAAGGAATGATTAACCGTTTCTGTATGGGAAAGTATGGTTCCACACATAGCATCTAACATTCATGCTTTAGTTGGTGAGAAAATATAAGTCACATTTAAAGGTATATGGTCTGTACTGAATCAAAAACCAAAACATTATTGTGTAAATCCAAATTAAAATTATTTAATTTCTTCTTTCAACAGGCAATTTTAATTGTTCAGTATCAGAATACTGAAAGTGCAGAAAATAATTTAGCAAAAATTGTAACTCTGTTCTGATCCACTTACTGAGCCTGACAGCAGTTGAGCTTTCAGTCTTGGGATAATTACAGAAAGCAATATGACTGCAGACTGATCACCCATAAATGGTTCTGCTGGTACAAAACTAGCGGTTCAAACAGATAAAGATGGAGCAATAAAAAACACTTGTTTAACCATACAACCATGTTAGACCCCGGTTTTTCAGTCACGTGTAGCTAAGGACAAGCTTTTTAAAGATATTCTTTGATTTCAGACTTGATCTTTTAACATTTTACTAGAGTGAACATCATCTAGTGCCATCATTAAGTACAGCCATCATTAAATTTATTGCCATTAACTGGTATCAGTGTAATTTGGGCACAAGCCCTCTCTTGAATCTGTTGCACATCACTGCATTTTCTGTGAGGCCTTAACCATGACATAACTAGGTTACTTCTACTTTCATGCACTGATAAAGTTTTCCAACTCAGTTTAATTTACTTGTAACTGACAGTGAAAAGTCAAAGACAGGTGTTAGCATGAAACAAAACTGGCATATTGCAAGGGGTTTCATGAATCTCTTTTTCAAAGAAAGAAGAATAAAGATAGTCATAAGGAAATCAACAATGCCATATCTGAGCACTTACTTCCGTCAGGATAGTCTCCATCAGGACCCGTTCCATCAGTCGGAGTATCATGCTTGGTTCGTATCCACAATCCCTGGTTGGGATTGCAAGGCTGGGTCCAGTCACAAAATGGTCTTGAGTTGTTGTTAAAATCACATCTGGTGAGGTAAGCTGAAATACACCACATCAAAGTAAGGAAGAGCAGCTAGTATGTTCAAAATCTGCCTGGATATTAACAGCACTAATGACATGCAGTTACCTGTTTCAGGATCCCATGCTCTCAAGCTACCAGTTGGTCTTTGCTTGATCCTGCCAAGAAAAACAACACAGTGAAGCCCTTGTGGAATTAGTGACTTAAAAACTATTTAAGAAAGAATGTTGGGACTTTGACATATGTCTTTGGGTGTTTCACTGAATAACCGAATAGAACCAGATCCATGTCTCACTCTTTCTCTTCCCATACATATTTACTCCTTCATGATACAGCTCAGAGAGTGAGTCAAAGGTGGGATATGTTCATTTCATCTTATGTGGAGGAATCCTCTGCGTTGTATCCCACTGAACTGAAAGGAGACCAGTTCCCCTGGTACAGGGAGCTACATAAGGGATGGATGGATGCAGCTCAGCTCAGATAGTAGTAGGATAAGAGCAAGAACTTGCTCATGCCATTGTCATCACCACTGTTGCAAAGTGGATAAATGCCTGTAAACTAGTGTACTATGTAACTCTGTTGTTTGTTGGAAGGCTACGTATTTAACTCCTGCAAGTCTCTCATGACACTGAGAGTCACCTCATTCACCTCATGAACTGCCACCTCATTCAGCTATTCGAATTAACCCTGAAAGTGCTGCAGAACAAAAGCAGTTACAAATGCACATTCCTTGTGGTGCTACACGCTCCCACAGAGATGATTTGACATAGGACCAAAATCCCGTCACAGATCACAGCATAAATAGCTCTGCTTTTTGGGTGTTTTGCATAGGGACTGCAAGGCTACAATAGTAGTCCTTGACATACTCTGACAGTGGCCCACAGTTTCTGGAGGAAGGGTTCAGTTCTAACCTCTGTGGTGCCTCCTTAATTGTTCTTATTGTACTTGACACAGTATATAGAATCTGCCCTTAAGTGAATGCATCACAGTGAATGGCCCCACTGCCTTTCAAAATCCAAGCAATGATATTCAGAGAACTTAGGGAGATTAGGAGCAAATACCACACAATCAATTCATCAGTGAAATGCAGCAAGCAACTGGAGAACTGACCAAGCTAAGGCTAAGGAGGAAAGAGAATATGGAAAGAGAGATAAAGTAAGAAAATTTTCTTCACTGTTCCTTCTTGGATCTCTTCTCTCATGAAAAAGGGAAAGCTGTGACAAGTTGCCACTCATCTCTATTCAGTGCTGTCTTTTAATTGTTACAAATCAGGTAAGTCCTAAGCCAGATAGTCCTAAGCCTAGATATATTCTAGTGTTCTGTAACTACTGTGGTTATTCTGTCAAGATCTCTCCTCTTCAGATGTGCCATCAAAAATCCACATTACAGGTTTTTCACACAGACAGGAGCCAGTGCAGAATTAGGCAAAATTAAATTATTCAACTGAACTAAAAATTTAAATTATTTCTTCTTTTTTTCAATGACATGGTTCAGTTGTACAATATTCCACATTGAAAAAGGGAAGAAACATTCCACATATAAAAAGTGAAGAAAGGATATTTATCATTAACAGCTAAGCTTCCTGAATTAAGCTGAATTCAGTACTGTGCTACTTACCCTGTAGTATTCAGCACTGAAATACAGAATAAAATCAAAGTGTACTGGAAGTGCCAGAGGGTCTCCATGCTAGAAGACAGAGTAAAGTCTTCTGTGTGGTATAGTTTGCATAGTAATCCACCAGCTGTACTCGGTGAGGAGGAAATGAGGATGACCTACAGTGAAACAGAAGAATATATTGACCAGAGGGTGGAGGCGATTATAAAAACCTGTCCAACCATATATCAGTTATGCTTCCTGGGTTATCTACCTCAAGAAAAGCACATGTGATCCAAAAGCTCATATTCACTTCAAATGCCACTTGCTTTGACACTCTTAGTTGCTTGCTGGAGAAATTGATTTGATATTGGCAATTTTTGGTTTTGCTGTTTTATATTTTTAAAAGTCTGCAGTTCTAAAGAGCTTTTTTCTTACATTGATAGCAAGGCAACTTTCTTCATTTAAAACTCCTGCCCAGATTTTACCGCTATCATAAGTGAGGTTCCTCATATTGACTGAATTTCTCCCTTTCTGAAACCAGCATTCAGCAGAGCTGATAACAAGCTTTCAATTTATTCAGTCATGTTTTTGTGGGCACAATTCACAAACTTGCTGAAATAGTATTGTTACCATATCAGCCCTGCTTGCAAATCAAATGGTCATTTTCTGGGCTGTAATGGAGTCTCTGTTGGTTACTGGGACAGAAAAAGCAAGTGAATCATTCCCACTGACGCTTCATCCTTCGCTATTCTGTTCTTTGTAGCATTCCTTGCATCAGGGCCTGCAAAGAAATGGTTTGAAGGCAGCCAAATTCCCTACTTCATCTGAATTTTATGAGTGATGAGAATCACAGGAGAATCAGAAAGTGCACAGTGTTTCCTTACATTGCCTAGAAACCCTAGACCACAGCTCTATTTTTGTATAAATGAAGGATGTCTCTGGGAGTGGGACTTTCTGGGAAAGTGGCCTCTTAGTAACAAGCACTTTTCCTTTGTGATTATATTCCAGTGATTAAGGTCATTAAGCTTCATAATGTAAGCCTGTAATTTCTTCTACTCCCTTTCCCCCTACTCAGCACAAAATATTTTCACTTGCCATTAACAAGTAACTTAGGAGGCTGATCACATAAGCAAGAGAAATAAGGGAGGATCAAGTAAGACTAAGCAAAAATGTAAGCAGAAATACAAACATATTTCAAGTTAGATCTTAATGGCTGTGTTGACAATGGGCCTGGGGCCAATTCAGCCACAGGCTGATGCCCCACGCAAGCCCCACCAGAGCCAAATGATGGATGCTTATGTAACTGGCAATCATCCCTCTCAGTGAAAATCCCTTCCTAAGAAAATGTGTGTATTTTTGGTAATCAGTAAACAGGGGAGAGAATTCTGTGATCTAGACAAAGAAACTTATTCCCTGCACAAAACCATTGAGCACACTCAGTGTGAGAGGGAGAATATGACTGACCATCTGAAAGTTGCATTGAGCACACTGCATTTTGAGCAGGGCTGCTGAGATGCTGGTCCAGTAAGTGGCAAATCTGTAAAGGTAAATGGTAAATCCTTCCATCCAGATGATGCACAGTCCTTGACCCCTCCTCACCCACGGCAAATATGAAGCACTGCAGTACATGAACACTCCTGTCAGTAGAATATGGCATGCTCTCCAGCCATGCTGTGTGACCTTTTCTGTCAATCTGTCACTCCTGTTTAATGCCAGCTCAGGTACTCTGTAAAAGGTGAACTGGGATGCCGATTAATAACTACTTTTATATATGGGAAGGATGACAAGAAAATTACTTGCCATTTGATGCTGTGGGATGTGACAGTATCCTGCAGTCTTGACAACCAAATTGATCACCTTGCAGGCCTACTATTTCTCTTCTCTACCCACATGCTTCGTATCTCTGAAAGGCTCCTGGGAGACACTGCCATTTGTATATCGGCCTGGACTGCATAGCAACCTGAGGAAGAAGAACAACAACAGTTCTTCATTTCTAATACCATGAAGCTAAAATTGTTCCCAAGAAAGGGCATTTAGAGACAATCTTACAAAGAAGTTATGTTTTACTTCTTGCTTAAACCAAGGATGCAAGTGATGGACAAATGGCAGTTAATCCCCATGGCTGGCTTAGTGCTCTGTACTGCTGTGCTTCATTTTGAAACCAAACACTAGACTTCACCCCATCTACCACCAGCATTAGAAATTCTCCTCACCTGCTGCTTGTTGACAAGGCTCACTGAGGCCACTCAGTGGGAACAAACATGACAGATTACCCACATAAAATCTGCATAAGAAGATGCCAACAGTAGAGCTTGTCAATGGCACACAACATCCTCAAAAGGACAGAGAACCTATTGCATACAGCTTCATTTCTGGCTGGTGGTCAGAAAGGGACTCTTCATTTTTGCAGGATGAAGTTATGTTTCCCAGGAGACAGGATCAGCCAGATACCTATGCAAAGGGACAACAAAATGAAGATGCAACCAAAGAAAAATTGTCCTGGGCAAGATAAATCAAAGACTAAAAGAAGCAAACTCAGCAGTTCATCCATTCTAGTGAGTGCTGTCTAAGTGCAGCTTTTGCTTTTTTCCAGCATATACAATTGTCCTCAAGTATCTAAATCTGGTTACTCCAATTTCTTGAATCCAAGTGTTCTCTGATGAATAACAATTGCACTTCACCGTGTTGATAATGCTTAGTCTGTGGTGTTATAAACAGTAGAAAACTAAGGATTTTGGCAACCTTGAAGAATGGGGAAAATTATACAAACCCTCTTTTTCCTAAATCATAGATTTGAGGCTAGTTGAGCCTCATAGTGACACTATGGGAGACTTCTACACTGCTACATAGCACAAAGCAGAGAGGTCACTGGATGATATGAAATGCTGATGTCTTGTTGGGGTGCACTTGCACCACCTATATACCCCAGGGCCTATTCTGTCTGAGGCTCTATCTAGAAGAAATTTTAACTGAATTAACCAAATGGCTGTTCTTAAACGGCAGAATTCCATGCAGATTCTCTTAATCTGGAATATATCAGGTTCGGTAAATTTGTACATAAAACCTAAACATCTTATGTGATTTTCAGACAATGAATGTATCTCATTGTGGCTTGCAGAGATTTAACTGCATTGGCTTTTTGCATCAATTTTAGTTAAATTGATACCATTTGCATGAGTAAAGGGATCCCTCTGTTGTTTCTATTCAGGTAACAATTCAGCTCTTCCTCTGCCCTGACAAATGACTGAGCCAACTTCTGCAGTGTGAAATACCTCTGTCACTATTTCTGGAACCCCTAGTGCCCTCTGGGCTCCACTCTGCCTTTGTGTGAGAAGGCACAGCCAGATCTCTCATTCCTTCACAAATCTGTCTATGCTGGATTCTTGTTTGAGCTACCCACGTCACTGTTGTAAACCTTCACTAAAGAGTTATGAAATGAACAATCAGCACCCATAAATCTATAATCAGATGAATTTAGATTATGCAGCAGTGCAACTAATCCCACATTTACTATGTTGAGTAACATGCTTTGACAAGCTGAGGAGGAAGTACACACAAAAAAAAAATCTCTGTTGCTAGAAAACAAATGGATGTTTTTTTGTGGAGTAAAGCGT